ATAAAGGAGTTGTAAGGCCTCAACAAACTCCACGGTCTTCTCGCCGTTGCGAATTCTCAGTCGGTCTCTTAGTGCAGCCTCAAGCGTGTGTTTTGCAGATTTCGGCACACAAAGCACTAGAGCAAGCCACCGGCAGACTGGTTTGCCTAGCAGGCCTAGGAGACTGTCCGAGGCGCCTAGCCGGGCCAAGGCCGAGAAGATATCAAATCCAGGCGCGCATGCGAGTCGCCGGAGCAGTGATGGGTAAAATACCGCATCTAGGGCCTCTTGGCAAAGCTGATCCGGCACAATATTCGGGTTAGGGGCGCGTTGGGAATGGCGCGATTTTGATTACTTTTCGTACTTCTGAGAACAGTGGGAAGCGCCGGAGCGGAGGCCGTTTCGATTTTCTCGGGAATGGGAGGGGGAAGAAGAAGAGAAACCAATATCAGACGCCCGCACATCGTTCCGGGGGACCATAGTACCGACTCGCACAGTCTGTTTGGACGGTAGATGGAAGACCCGTTTCGCGGTGACGGAAGGGAATTCGTCACAAGTTGCTCCGTGGAGAGGAGACATCTTTGGACTTCAGCCTTTCAATAGCCGTTCAACTTGCTCACCGACGGTACCAAAGTCAGTATCCCTGCTCTGTCCCGCCCGCTATCCCAGATCTTGCAGCGCCAGGACAGACGTCGGGAATTAAGAGCTGGGTCCTTTTAGATGACGACGAGCCGGCCTCGAGTCGGCTGCTTGCATCTTCGACCAACGCGTGGGACCGGGACCGGGACTTGGGGACTCATGTACGGTATTCCTGCACTGCGGAGGATTGGGGACCTTGGGGGACAACGGGATGGATCACGTCTGACAGTCTGATGTCTGACTGTGTGACTGTCTATTAACTGTCTCTTGACTGGCAAGCTGGGAATACCTACCTGACGGCAGACCCCAAACTTGTCAAAGACGACGCGCTGATCGCCAAGCACCACAGGCTAAGGGGTCTTCCCCCAGGATGGCTGTGCACTTTGCGAGTGGGTGTCTGAGTTCAACGGCGCATCTGGCGCTGTTGGGCTTGTTTTCGTCAATCAGAGGGAAGCAGCACGATGATCCCCTTCGGTATGCGATCCGGCCGAGTGTCCCACGTTTGCGTGACGACAGTCAGACCTCGAATCTGCCCTGGCGCCGCCATTCCAGCGCATTGTCAGTTCACGTTGAGGTGAAGAGCGGACTGGAGTCTCATCTTCGCATCACGCATACGCATGCAGCTGAAAAGTGCTGACCTTTCCCAGTCAGCCCAGACGCCCCAGCTAGCATGTAATTACTGCGCAGAGAGTCCCGAGAAATGCAGAATGGACCTTTGGGCTGGGATGTGGGAGAGACGCTGCCGACTCTTTGGGAATGGTTCCCGCAGGACAGGACGCTCTGCCATTCGTACGACGCACACTCAATGGGTGGGCAGGGGACTTGCATCCGGCCAGGTGCCCGAGCAAAAGCGACGGGGTCTCGCGGGGCTAATGCGGCCGTGGTCATTCAGTCCCGGCTCCCAAGAAACAAAACATGCTAGCAAGATTTTTCTGTCTAGGTATGCCTCTATGGCAGAGTGGCAGTACGGATAGGTAATGCTGACTGCCAGACGGGAACGTGAGCCAACTTTACGACTTGTCCAAGACAAGACATTTCCAGCCATTGACTTTGGCAGGCTTTGACAAGACGAGGCAAAGTGGCCGAACCGTCCCAAGCCATCCGAGGTCGCCCATCGGTAGTCTAAGCCAAAGTCAGCCAAGGGCGAGGATAAGCTCGGGCAAACCCATGCTCAACTTTCCCAAGTTCCCACTCCGAGGCAGGGAAGAGGAGTACAGGGGCCATGTGGAGGAGATAAGGACCTGCTTATTTGGGCCAGAGATAAAGGTCTTGGCGGGGAGATTGATCCAGGCTCTGAGTGGACGAGGCAGCAGCTGGAGAAGCGATGGAGGGGGAGAGTGGCAGGGAAGATGGTGGTTGGGGCCCATGATGAGAGGTCTGGGAGGGATGGGTGGGAAGATGCAGCGCGTTTCTAGAACGTAAGATGGAATGCCCACGCGGACGATATGATCAATAAGCGTTATTGTCAGCGTCGCGATTAGACTTATTTGGCGACCCGCTGGTGAAGCTGAACACCTAAAAGGTTCACATAACATGTACGTATTCGTTTACTCTGTTCTGGCCTGGGCATTTGTTCCTGTGGACTCGTGGAGGGGCACATGGTGAAGGGTAGAGGATAGGAATCATGGGGCAGACTTCCTTCAACGGCGGCTCTATCCACATCCCCTCTGCCGAGCAACGGGTCCTCTGCGGGAGGTTGAGACTCCAAGAAGCAACAAGAGATTCAAGAGATGGACAAGACGCTGGCGGTTCTTGGACACGGGCACGATGGCGCAGACGGCGCAGTGGCGCGCTTTCTAAGCTTTTGGCAGACGCAGCCACCACTTGGTGTTGAGCTGTCAGAGAGCCAGTCAGTGAACAGACGTGATGCGACGAACGGTCTATTCTTCCATGCAGTAGCAGTACCTAGATTAACATCATCGAGACTGGGCAGAGACGGCCACGCCGATATCTCTATCAGTGCCTCGTGAAGACTGGCTGTTCCCTTGCAGGGTCGACGACTCGAGGGATCCCGCTAGGCTCTCCCAGTAATACTGCCAGCCTGCTAGTACATACCATAGTAAAGGTAAAATCACGCTGCCCATCAGCAGCAACAAATGGAGTACGGATACTTGGGATCGATTCAGCGAGCGAACAGCCTATCTGGGCACGAGCCATTGGCGGTGATTGGCGCGAGGGTATGAATCGTGGCTTGAGGGTGTCCCCGCAGATTGCCCGAGTAGATGGCCATCGCGTGAGCCGTCTATCTCTTGGCTCTCTGTGACTTGACGAGAGCTGGTGGAGGTGGTGGTGGTGTTGGTCGTGGTGGTTCCTGTTCTGGCGTCCTGGTCGCCGTACTCCAACTCCGTACGCCTTATCCGTGTCCGGGACACCCACGCTGTGGGACGGAAACAGCTGAAGCCTGCATATTCGCACGCCGTCCGTGTCTCTCCCTCGCACTCTGCCTTGCGCAGTGCTAAGTTCTAGGGTAGAGAGAGAGAGGCGTACCGGGTGGCCGGGCGGACTGACTACCTCTCTCGTAGTCGGAAGACTTGTAACCTGATCGTGATGGAAGGTCTGTTGATCTCCCGCTGTTGGCGATAAATCGGGAGAAAGAGGAACGATGAGGGTAAACTGAGTTTGCCCCAGAGATAAGCATCATCGCGTAAGTCCGTACGACTAGTATTACGGTGGAAATTCGACAGTCTGGGTCAAATCTCTCGATGCAAGGCAATTCTTAAGCTGCTAGAGGGAACCACCTGGAGGATTTGCTCACTCTGCGGGCGTTGCTCTAGAATTGTTTCTTGCAACCGAAGTGGCAGAACTGGAATCTGGCACATCGACCTGCTGCGTCCGGCCGTCGAAGGAATCCCGCGCATTCGGCCATTGTCTTGGTGTTTTCTTGGTACCACCGATCGTTGCCCATCTCGAGCCAGGGTCTGTCTCGCTTGCTCAGGCACCTCGGGGCTCATCCTCCTTTGCTTGTCGCGTCTAAGCTTTCCCCAACTCTTCCTATCAGCGAGTAAGACTGGCGTGAACTGGCTTCGCGAAGGACTGGACAGCTGGGCAGTTTCTAGGCACAGCTGACTTGGAATCTCGACTCATGCTCGGCGGTTGACGATACTCCGCGTTAAGGATTGACTTTGACTGCCAAGTATCCGTATCTCTCCTTTCTTGTTCTCTTCATCTCAACTCACTGCGTAGCCCCCGCTGAAGCTATGACTTTCCCATCACCTCCACACATCCAACTCATACTTCTCCAAACTTGCCCGCCGCCACCCATCCATCTTACTGCACTGATGATGCTCGCCAAGGCTGAACGGCGTTGGACACGCAACTTTCCAGTGCCCAATCACAGCCAACAGATATTACAAACCACAACTCAACTGCCCATGCTGCCTTTGTCTTTGCTTCCTGTCCGCAAGACAAGTGAACCCTTGCCACGGCCCCCCTCCATCCACAGAATCAGCCTATCCCTGTCTTACTACGTACTGTCGTTTCCTGGCCCATTCGTACCCCGGTAGACAGGCTTTTTCTCCACCACAATTCCCCTCCCCTCACTCATCCTCCAGTCCCCTCCTCGACCAGTGCGGTACTGTACACTACTGCTGGGCCCTGACTGAGAGACTGGACTGGCTTAACGGAGAGAATGGAGAAGCTGTCTGTGAGACACGGCCTTTACACACACATTCTCCCTCTATCTCTCCACAATCACCTGGCTAGCCTGCGAAGAACCGCGAGCGTGGTGCGGGTACCTTAGTCCCCGTAGTCTCCATTGTGGGCACGCATGTACACGCAACGTAAAAGAGATACCGAAAGATAGTGCGACCAACATCCAAAGGTAATACCAACAGTCAAAACAATGTAGAACTCCATAAGCACCATCCGTCTCCGACTACCACTCGGCGACGCCTACAGGGATCCTTGACGGGTGTATCTTAGCGCACGACGCCAGTGCCCCAGTCTTGCAGGCTCCATCAAAACCCCCAAGCAAGCTAGGCCAGGTCCAGCCCACGAACCTGCGAGCGACATGGGATGTATGTGTGAGCGACAGCTATGATTCTGCCTGTCTTGCCTCGCCCGCTGGTATGGCGCCGCCGGGTGTCAGTCAAAACGGGATGCGAGCTGCTACCTATGGACGGATACCCTTCCCTCATATGCGGCAGCCTCTCTATCGCGCCTCCGTCCCTGGTCCCGCGAGCCGGCGCTGAAATCTTAATTAAAGAACCTCGAACCCCCCTCCCTACTTCGTTGTGTACCTCGTTCTCTCTCACTTCTCTCCCATCCCTCTCGCTCCCAGAGCTCTCACTTGTCAATCCCCCACCCTTCTGTCTTCGCCCAAATCCAGAAGTAGAGTCTCATCCCATTCTGTGTACGACGCACTCAGTCGCCACACAGCAACAATGAGCGACGGCCTTGTCAAGCGGGCGTCCTCCTCGGAGGGCGCTCACGGCGGCCACGACATCGAGAAGACGGGCTACCAAACACAGACCTACGACGACAACCTCAAGGAGAATGTCCACATCCGCGGTCTCGAGACCAGCGAAGACACGAAGCTGCACCGTGGTCTCAAGGCCCGCCACATCACCATGATTGCCATCGGTGGTGCCATCGGTACTGGTCTCATTGTCGGCACCGGCAAGGCTCTCGCCCAGGCTGGCCCCGGCTCCGTCTTCATCTCGTACACTCTCGTCGGTTTCATTGTCTTCCTCGTCATGGCTGGTCTCGGTGAGATGGCTGCTTGGCTGCCCATCTCTTCTGGTTTCACTGGTTACGCCTCGAGATTCTGCGACCCCTCGCTCGGTTTTGCCCTTGGCTGGACGTAAGTCGCAATACCCCCTCCATTTCACCTCAATTCTCTCTTCGCACCAAGTGCTGACTATGATTTTGCCCTTCAGTTATTGGTTCAAGTACATTATTGTCACTCCCAACCAGCTCACAGCCGCCGCCTTGGTTATCCAGTTCTGGGTAGACCGTGAAAAGGTCAACCCCGGTGTCTTCATCGCCATCTTCCTCGTCGCCATTGTCTGCATCAACTACTTCGGTATCAGATTCTTCGGTGAATTCGAGTTCTGGCTCTCCAGTTTCAAGGTCGTCACCATTGTCGGAATCATCATCTTCTCTCTCGTCCTGGCTCTGGGCGGTGGCCCCGACCACGATCGCAAGGGATTCCGCTACTGGAAGAACCCTGGGTATGTCTAACTTACACCCTCCAAACCAACTCGTTTCCATAACTAACAACCTCCAAGTGCTTTCAGGGAGTACATCGACACTGGCGATGCCGGCCGCTTCTATGGTTTCTGGTCCTGCATGGTCAACGCCACCTTCGCCTACCTCGGTACTGAGCTTGTCGGTGTCACCGTCGCTGAGGCTCAAAACCCGCGCAAGACGATCCCCCGCGCGATCAAGCTCACCTTCTACCGTATCCTCTTCTTCTACTGCTTCAGTGTCCTCCTCATCGGCATGCTCGTTCCTTACAACTCTCCGGATCTCGCCTTCGCCAACAAAGCCCAGACCGGTGCCTCCGCCTCCCCCTTCGTCGTCGCTGCCACGCTCGCTGGTGTCAAGGTCATCCCCCACATCATCAACGCTTGCATTTGCATCTTCGTCTTCTCTGCATCCAACTCGGATCTCTACATCGCCTCCCGTACCCTCTACGGTCTTGCTTCTGACGGCTCCGCCCCTGCCATCTTCAAGCGCACTGACAAGCGTGGTGTCCCCATCTACGCCCTTGGCTTCTCCGCCATGTTCGCCCTTCTGGCTTTCATGAACGTGTCCAACGACTCCAAGGCTGTCTTTGGCTACTTCGTCAACCTCACCACCATCTTCGGTCTCTTGACCTGGATCTCGATCCTCGTCACCCACATCTGGTGGTGCAAGGCCCGCAAGGCTCAGAACATCCCCGACGAGATCCTGCCCTACGTCGCCCCCGTCGGCATCTGGGGCTCTTACGGCGCTCTGTTCCTCTGCATCATCATCGCCCTCACCAAGAACTACGATGTCTTCACTGGCGGCGACTTTGGCAAAGAGAAGTACAAGACCTTCATCACCGGCTACCTTGGCATTCCCCTCTACCTCATCCTCATCTTCGGCCACAAGTTCTACTACAAGACCCGTGGCGTCAAGCCACACGAGGCCGACTTCTACACCGGAAAAGATATCATTGACCGCGAGGAGGAGGAGTTCCTCGCTCGCAAGGCTGCCGAGAAGGAGGCCAACGGTGGCAAGGGCGGCAAGGGAGGTTGGTTCTACAAGACCTTCCTTTCTTGGCTCTTCTAGACGCGTTGAGTGAGGTGAGAGGAAATGGGAGTCTGTGCATTTTTCATGAATATCATGTCTTGCGAATATACCATGGCGTGTTGGCCCGCCCACTAGCTACATAGATGTCAAAATCTAGACCAAAGGAATATTGTCTACTCTGCGCAAGATACCTATAACTTGACCTCTTTGCATGCTCTCTTCCGTAAAGTGATGTTGCGCTGGCAATATTTTCTCGTACAACAACGGCTTAAGAAAAGACCGTTCATCAAATCCGGTGGGGCTGCCATTAATCCACCCACGATGACTCACACTCGTTCAAGCTCCATAAATCCCAGCCTCGCCTCACCGAAGCATCCGCCTTTAAACAGGTTGCCTCAAGCACAATAGCTCAGGGGTAGAGCGCTGGGCTCATAACCCAGAGGTCCCTGGATCGAAACCAGGTTGTGCTATCACTTTTGAACTTTTGTTCCCTCGGACGATATTGCCTATTGCGAGGCCTGAGTTGGTGTTTGCAAGGCTTATGAGATGTGCTGGCAGCATCGGCGCACGAGGTGTGTTGAGAACGATACTTCGTTTTCGGTGCGTGTAGATAGGAACTCGCGTCTTCGTTTACATAGTGCTAGTACCTTTGCCGGCGTGCCGGAACATAAGGCACGCAGCGCGTTCTGGTGGTAGAGATAGCCGCACGAGTATGGTGGTGTCCTAACGTTGTCGCGTGCTGTCCTGTTCATCGTATTCTAGCATGATTTGCGGATTACCTACTTCTGAATAAGGTACCTTCAGCAGTCACTCAGCTAGCTAAGGCACCTCACGTCGAGGATTGTCTCCAGTGCTTCGCTTGCCCAGCTGCACGAGAGGTGTCTCTTCAAAGGATACGAATGAGAGACTCACCATGAGTTCCAGCTTGAGCTCGCCGCATGAAGCCATCAAAATTTTGACTTCACCCGGAGGAAGATCAATTAGGCCATTGACAACAGCTTGGAGTCTCATGCCGACGGCTAAAAAAGTATTGCCCGAAGGATGATTTCCGAGGGGGTCGAAATAAATAACTTGATTACAACAGATAGTACTGTGCTAACAGTTGTCAGCCATGACAGGTGGTATTCGTGATATTCTCAATGAAGGTCTCAGGCATCATGTTGGGAGAGATTGTCTCTAAGGTGCCCCTGAGACTACTGACAGGTAAGCCGCCCAAGGCTGACAAGCACGCCGCAGTTGTCCGCCTGGGTCTGCTTCAACTAGGTTGACGAGCTACCAGTATGCAGCTACTTGATCATCTCTGGAGGTTGATGAGGCCAGCATGGTAGGGGAAGCAAGAATACATATGCCCAATACTTTCGAGGGGAATATTTTTAGCATGCTAGGATAATTCTAGATACTACGCGTGCGGCAAGGTTGAAACGGCAAAGTTTGATAGGAGCCACAGAAGCGCGCGTGCGACTTTTGCTATGAGTACCTTACCATTCACCCACGCTGCATTTGTGTTGGAATATACCTATTCTAGAGAGCCAACCAACATGACTAGAAGGGACCTACCTCATTTGTAAGGCCCAACATTGGTGTCTCGGATTCAGAGCCATATATAGGACTTCTGTTCAAACCAGGTGCGGGCAACTTGAGTTTTGATTCTATTCGTCGTCGTCGTAGTTCATGCCATGATAGCTTCATGTCCAAATGCAGGGTACCTCCCACTAAAATGACCAGTCCTATCCTTCCTCGTGTATTCCATGCAAAACCATCACCAACGCGCCTCCATTCGTCAAAACATTCATCGCAATTTCGTCGCTTTCCGCGGCTTGAACGCCGGCTCAGCCGGTGGTTGCTGCTTTGCGATAATGTTATCCACGCGGTCCCATATACTTTTCGGACTCCAATCGCTATCAAACATCTGAGAAATCCAGTGAAACGGATCTCCGGGGGACGATTGGTTGGTACAATGGCCTGCCAAAGAGTTAGTCAAGCTGAAACATAAGTGTTGGCAGCGTTTTCACTTACCAGCATTCTTCATGTCCCTCCAGGTCTGCCTGCAAAATCCTTCATGTCTGTCTTGCAAGCCAGTCCAAAACCATCGGGCAACATGGTCTCCCAGGAAATCGTCGGCAGCGCAGTATGATTCGGGAGCGCGTCGGTAATATTGCCAATGAAGCAGAAGGATGTTTGCGCTCTTCTTCGCAACTTCGCAATATTGCTGGTAGGACTTTTCTTTATCTTCTTTCTGTAGTCTTCATCAGCAAAGAGTCCTCAAGCTGTATAGACGACCGCGTAATACCTCTTTTGCAGCGCAGAAGGAGGGGCTTTTCTTGTAGTGTTCCGTAGTCGCATCAAGCTCGTGGAGCATGATGAACGTCACGAGATAAACCGTGAAGAAGGATGTTCGAATCTTCTTGCAGCAGAGTTTCTCAAGGTCTTCAAGAATATGCTCGTGGTACTTGACCAGTCGCAGATGAGCCATAGAACGAAGTTGCGAGGTAGTCGTTGGCGGGGTGGGAATTCTGTCGATCAAAGGGTGATATTCGTCTTTGGCTGGTGTCATGCCTAGGCAATTTTGACTCTTCGGATCTTTGTTGTAGATCCATGAAGGGCGTGTCAAGATGCCTAGCGAAGGAGTCTTGTTAGAACATGTAACGCCACATTTTCACAACTTAATTGATGCAGAAACCTGGATTCAGAGTGGGAAAAGCACTCACGCTGGGCGAAACGGAACTTGAATAAGTTGAGTAACAGACGCCGGTCGATGGGATGTTGGTCACAATCGTTGTAGTACTCCACTGCCGCTTTGTAGTGTTTCGAAATGAGCTGGTCGGTATCACCTCGATAGGCTTGCTCCTCCCAGCCCTTCACCGCGTTGGCCTCGATGTAAGCTTCCAACTGCTCCCTCGACGAACTCACACTGGCAAGAGCATACGGTTCGAGTTTCGTCTCTTCTACCTCGCCCTTGTATTCGTTCATCCAGAAGTAGTTGATTTGGTCCGTCGGCATGGACTCTTTGTCGAACTTGCGAACCCGGATATTCATCGGTACAGAACACAGTCCCCGCGTTACGAGTTGGATGTCATGTTCACCTTCGTCAACCCACTTCTCGATCTCGATTATCTTGGCGGGAAGACCCAGCTTCGTGTCGATTCCAGCGTAATTGACATTGTAAAGGACGACATCGGCGAGTTTGGTTCGTATGCACGGCTGGCGGTGAATGACTTTTGAAGAAGTCAAGTCGACTTTCGCACAAGTCAAGCAGGGCCCATCGCGATTTGCCGCGTCAACTTCGCACTAATATCGCATGGTCAATATCGAGGATCCCATCTTCTTTGTAGCAATCGACCTTGCTAATCTTGGAAGAGGACATAGCCAACTCACCTTGAGACGCTGCATACGACATCGAATACACGCGCCAATTTTGCGGGTGTCGGCCACAGCGCGTCGATCCTCGTCCGTCAGTACGCGTTTCCGTCGACCAGCTGACTTTGTCTCTCGTCCTTGACTGAAGATTTGTGACTCGGTGTCTTTTGGCCGAGGGACAATTTCCAACAGCCGGCCACCCTCATCCCTTTCTTTTGCTGCCGAATTCCGCGCTGGCTTATGGTAGAGAGAAGGCTTGGAGGACATTTCAGAAAGTGACTTGACTCCACGAGCGTTTCCCGGTTGTTCTGGTGGCTCAAGCGGACTCGACTTGTTTGTCGGAGAGGTCAAGCACTGCTTCCAGGCTTGCTTCTGAGACCGCGATTGTTTGTTGTTGATTCGACTATCGCCTTGTGGACTAGGCAGAGAAGGAATTTCAGGTTGCTGATGAGGCACGGCGCCCCGCGAAGTCGGGTTGATTGAAGTTGGCTGAGGGAGTTCGGCAGATAACGGGAAACCGCGATGGAGCAGACGATTCTCTTGAGGCGAAACAATATCCTCTGGACTAGCAGAACCGTAAGATAGAGTTGTTGATCTCGGCGGAGATGGTATTTGCAAGCTCGCCGTAGTCGAAACGCGTTCCTCGGGAACCTCCCAATGATTCATCCGCCCATCGTGGTTGAAGTGTTGACCATTTAGAGAGACCACTCGGTCGATAGTTTGATTCTCTTGCGGCCGAGTACCATCGTTCTGATGCACGAAGCAGCTGTAGACCAGGCCGACCGACCATGGAACTCTAGGCGGAAGAGTGCTTGTTTGCTGAATTAACCCACCCGATGAGCCATGATCGAGGGAGGATGGAGCTGGAGTCCAGCTAACAGCGTGAGGCGCGTCGACATTGTAGGGCCCATTGATGGCTTGGTGAAAACATTGCGGACTGTTCTGGTTTTCAAGAGTGCCATACTGCCAGTGGCCCTGAGTTGCCGAGTCTCTGTGTTGGCAATCATAGGGCGCCGCGTAGACAGAGCATTCAGCATCGTACAAAGTCTTGGTGCTCTGAATTCTGATTAGTCATTTTCCTTCTCCCTTCTCGTTTGACTCAGACCGTCTTTTCACGGTTCTAGGAAGAAGGTAGCCTGGGCAGAATTACTGCGAGAGTTATTGAGCTGGGTCAGGAATGGCTTACAAAGACGAGGGGGTCACAGTGCTCGGACCATTGAGCTCCTGAATCCTCCATCTTTTGGTATCAAATCGAGTGACTGCAGTTATCGCAAAGAGCAAGTGGTTTTCTTGGGTGTGGCATGAACCGGTGATGCACGAGCAAACCGAATTCTCAATCGAATGACCGGGAGAATTCGACGACAAGGGTAAGGCGCACTTGGCTTGTGTTCCCACCCGTTAATCGACTGTCAGATCTCGTGACTCGATGCTGCTCGGGATAATGTTGAAAAAGGATTGGCTTGAGAAGATATACAAGTCGGACAAGTGGGTGTCTCCGAAGGCAAGATACCGATGGAAAACTGTAGCTTGAAGCATCCGAAGTCTATTTTTCTTTGAAAAATACATGTATGGTAAGATAACGCGGTTCTCCATCCCGCTTTAATGACATTTTGCTATCTTGGCGGCTCCCCGCTTCGAGGATCTACACCATCGTTCTTGAAGACTAGCCATGATATCCCACTACTTCTCTGTCTTTCCCAGCATTCAGGGAGACATTTCTTCTTCCTGTATGCGGATTGTGGGCATGCAACGGCATCCCTGTTTGTAGTCATAAATCATCCAGCGGTTGACCAAGCATGCTCGCCTGTGTAGGCTGTGTCTGACGGGGGCGGCGCGAGAGCATTACCGGCGGCGCTCCCTACTGCCGTATCTTTGGACTTTAGGCCCACCACAGGCGTAGACATCGAATCGAGTGACGTACCAGAGGACGTGGACGAATCCAAAGTTGACCCGGATTTACCGGAAATCTGTGGCCCATCAAGACCACCTTTTAGCTCGCGCGTACGTTAATCTTGCGACTGGGGTTAGTGCGTGGGCGTTGAGCCTGTGGAGGATTCGAGATCCTGCGGCGGATAGGCTGCATGAAGGCGATACCAGGGTGCAGGCCCAGCATCCGGCCGTTGATTCCACATCAGGGAGCAAGCAATCTGAACCCCGGTATTAAACCAACAAGGCGCTCTCCGGGGAAGTACGGATGCTTACAATCTCTAGAATACCCAAGACATGATCTTTACCGCGGACCCTTACCGCGTTCTTGATCATGTGAGTCTGCAACTTACTACACAAAGTGACCTAGCTGGTTCGCATTTGAGTTCTCGCCGAGGGTGGACGCAACCCGAGGATGGGGCCGCCATCCACCCTCGATCGCCGTCAAGGAGTACTTCGCGCTGACATACTTTTCTTAAACGCACTGTGCGTCTTACTCTCCTTCTGGTCTAGGCCGTCTGGAGAAGGTCTGTCTTGGTCTGTCACATTTCCCCGGTCCGATGGACCTGTCGGCTCGTAGACGAAGGTTGAAGGACCTAGAAGCAATGCGGAGGCGCACTTACCAGGCCAAGTCGCTATCACGAAATAGGAAAATGCTTTTAAGCGCTAGTAGGTTCTAGATTTGAGGCTATGGACCGCGGGAACAGGTGGATATTCTATGAATATGTCTGTTGGGCTGAGACTGCGAGGGCTATTCCGTGGATGTGGGTGGTGATAGAGCCCTCCCGAGATTCGAGATAACTAATGAGACACAGCCAGATTCACGTAGCGAAATTTTTCTTAGTCCTCTTTTCGTCTCAAGTCACATCACTCGGTGGATAAGTAGCACACGATACCTCGAAGGCAGTTGGACGTTTGATTGTACCGATTTCACAGGGCGCATACCCGGGAACGCGGCCTCGGAGAAATATTCGGCGGCCACAACTAACCGAATCCAAAAAGATCAAGATCCATCAGGTACTGTCCCATCTATTCACTGCACGTTCTTGGCGCCATTATTGGTCTCATGTTACGAATGCATTAATAGATGGGGGGTCAAAGGGGAGAGGGGGAGGGGAGTAGCTCTCCATTCCAAAGCCTCAACCTACGCCCGTTGCGGGTTGGCGACTTTCTTCACGAGGTTAAAAAGCCGTCTACCAGTGAATGCTCAAACGGGGATGGCCCTTATCCCCATTGAGAGTCGTTTCCTCCGCAAGAGTCGCTGACGACCTGGCCGCCTGCACGCTTCAAGGTGAACGATTTAAGAGAGCCGAGTCTGGGATCGTTCGAACATTTAGAGGGTTCACTTGGGCCGCATCGGGAGCTGAGTTGAACCCTTACGAGTTTGAGGACGTCGAGAGACGGGAAGCTGGACTCTAACCCAAAGTAGCGCTGTACAAGAAGTATGAGAACTTACGTGAGGTGCTTAATCGAGTACACCGAGGCATCGTCCGTTTTTTTTTAACGTAATATATCTACGGCTGGGGCAGTATGCTCGGAAATATTCTCGTAACAAAACATGCCACTATGATCACCAATGATTGCTGGGTCTGAAGCGCCTATATAGAGTACATGGAGCATGGAGGAACGCCCGCCCCCCCGTATTTGGTTTTGAGGGTTTGCGGCGGACCCCCGATTCCTGAGCTGTGTCTGCTTCAGTCGAGAACCTGAAGCTGTTGTTCTCATCATAGCAGCATACATTCTGAGTCCACTAAACTCAATGTCTCCATCTGGAGCTTAACGCGAGAAAGTATTCCTAGAACATTCCCAAGAATCAGACTGCACACCCCTCACGAGCCTCCTTTAGCTGACTGTCTATGTTGCCCAAGGTCTGATCTGTGACGAGCCATCCGGCTGCAGCATGCAACCTTACAAATAGCCTACTTGAAACGAAACCTATTTCCTTGAAATTGACCTGACAGCGCTCTTCAGCCCCTACCCGACACCCTGTCATGCCGTTGTCTCGAGGCTTCAAGACACTGAATTTCAGATAGCGACTACCTAGTCACCAGAAAGAGACGACAATGCATCTGTGAGCCCACAGGATAGCCTATAACTCTTCGGCTTGGGCAGTCGCAAATTCACGAGTTTCCGATTATTATCTCCGTAGTCTTTTGAGAATCGAAGAGACTCGAGCCATGAGCTCATTCTCAACCACACAGCATCACCCCAATGGGCGCTAATACTTAAGCCCTACGGACTCGGGAGCCCTGACACCACACGTAATTTACATGTGGGCAATACTGTCTAGGACCCTTCACCCACTAGAGCCCATAGTGTGACAGGTGTCGCCGAAGGTTCCGAACAATACGAAGTGAGGATTAAGGGGCGCCGGGGTCGCACAACAGTAGACTGTCTCAAGAGTCGGCAGCTGAAGAAAGACTTCCACTAGCTTTGTGGCTTGCGGTGAAACAGAAAGCGGTCAGAATGATCTTGGCCATGACAGGTACTTCGTGCCTATCCGTGGACATCGTGAGGCCGGAACGGCCGGTCAGCAGCCCGGATACTGATGGACTGAATTTCCTGGCAACAGTGCAAGGATTCGAGGAAGTAGAATTCCCAAGTGCCTAATCACTTGCCTACTTAACCATCATGGAGGCTCACTACCTTGAACTAGGCACATACTATTCATGATCAGCCTACAAGCTATACGTGATGGGGGCCTGGAAGCGACCCTGAGATTTGGCGAAAATAATGTCTTATGCCTAGGTTACCCATCAGTCAGAGCGTCCTCAGGAAAGCCAGAGCAAGTTCAGTATTTTCTATATGAACTCATATTCAGAGGACACGCTGGCGTTTTCCGAGGAGAAAACCAAGTGACAGACGGAGGCCAAGCTTCTGCGAAGTAATCTTGATGATGTTAGTCCCGGCGAGGATCGTCCTGCCACAGCATCTGCGCCATACCCCTAGTGACCCCTAAAACGAAAAGGTAGCATGAAACAAAGGCAGTGAAAGCCCATGATGTAGAAGCTAATGTAGATGAGCTTTGTTCTACGGTTGGTTTGAGGCCGGCATGCAAAGAGGGGGAACCTACACAATGTGAGAGTGAGGAAGCCGGATTGCTCCGCATGACAGCGCAATGTCTTCTCGTTCAAGAGGCTTATTTTCTCATGAGAGCGAAGCTAATGCATGTAAATCCAAGAGTAGTTCGGGCCAATTGTGTCACATATCAGATCTCAACTCCCTTCCACAGTGCCGTCGTAGATGCTAAGTATCATGCTGACGGTAATTTACTCCCCAGTGGACTGAGCACAACCGGCCGCCACTGTCTGTAGTTTTGACCAGGCCCATCGTCCCAGCCATATCTTCATATTGTCCTTGTAAGAATTGGGTGGTATGCGTGGCAAGCTACACTGAAGGGGAGAGGAATGGATGCGAGGGCGATCTTGGCATCGGCGCATCGTACAGGGTCGAGTCTCAAACAGCTGCATCACGGTTGTTATCACGGAGACTTACTAAGATCCTTGCATGCAGATGCTGCTTGAAATGGTGAGGCCTCTTTAAGCAAGAGAGCCGAAAAGTGACTGAAGTACAAGGAAAAACATCCAGTTCTTGTCGGGTTGAGTGGTGGAGATATACTTGTGTGACAAGGCCCTGTCGTCACCGCGCCACTGGCATTTAGCTGAAGTGGCTTGTTTAGCGGTGGGGTGTACAAATCCAAGAGCATCAACGCGTCCCAAAGATTTGATGGCGGCCCAGGGAATTGGAGTGCGCCCTAGACATGTACCAGCGGTGCCAGCCTTCTTTTCCTCTTTCCCCCTCTCGGACCTTTAGTTTCTTTTTCTGCCCGAGACCTAGTGTCAAATAGACACTGTAGGAGAGAACACTGTGTAGCATCTCACGTCCGGATAAGGGATGGGTGTGTTTCCTCCTTTTCCAGCCTGCCAACATCAGTGTCACACGTGTCCACTGTCGAGGTGATGGGACAACACTAAGAAGAGAGGCGAAGTAAGGGCCGGGGCGAGGCACGAAGGCCCGGGGCGGCCCTGGTGGCACAGAGATATTGCTTATTTCGCCGCCAGCCACGAGTCCTCCGCCAAACTTGGCCGGGCAGAATGGCTGGCTTCTTGCTGCATCCATCACCCTTGAGGTCTTCTTGTTCGGACTTAGGTCTCTTTTTGCAGCCCTATCAGAAATGTGCCATTGGCAGCGCCCTTGATGCAGATGTTAGCAGCTGTGCTAGGATCATTGATCTCTCTTCATCTGCTGTGATGTTTCCCCCAGCCTGGATCCGAGGTGCCAAGCATGCATGATGCAAGCTGATATCAATACTTCACATGCCTTTGCACTATTGTAACCGACGCCAATGTCTATCTTACGAGGAGACGCAGAGCGGTGCCCTGTTTGTCCAAAGGTATTCAGAGAAGTTAGTTATAGGTAGTCGAATAATTATCATCAAGTTGATTGCAGTAACGTTGCTCCCGTGAACTGGGACTACGAAGACCATGCCGTGCCTTCACCCCCGAAGCCAGGCTCCGTGCCTGTAACCTTCTCGGCTGAATACAAGTAGCCTTGGAATTATGCTTGATTCAGAAGACAAAATCTCACCGGAGGTGAGTCCAGCTCCCCGACTTTCAATGCCAACCTGGTTTGGAACTATCACGCGAATGAGACAATAAACGACGTGAGGACTAGGCAACGGCCGTAACCACCTATACTGACGCTCAGCCTAAGGCAGCAGCTTAACATGCACTCCCCATTTCAGCATGATCGGGAGATTTGCACGCATGTCCTGCCGGAGATCCGTCTAGAGCCAATAGACACACGTATTGCCCATCACACTCTTCTTGGCAAGGACGGCGTTTCTGGACTGCATGCTCCAGCCTACATACAAGTTGTTACGGCCCGTGACGCGGGGCATGGGTGGGCAGAAAAAGCAACAGTCCTTCCTCTGACCTTAATCCTTATTGTACCACCGTACGAATAGAAATGAAATCATGGACAGCGATCAAACCATCCGGAATGTCCCCTGGCACCGCGCCTCTCCCATGCCTTGCCTAGTACCAAGGTCAAGCCGTGCTCGCAGCTCCTTCTACGATGTACGGAGGTACCGTACAGCTTTTTATCCAAGGTGCCGAGGGCTGCAAGTGTTCGGATGCGCGTCATTCTGGGTCGATGGGCTTGACTGAACTACCGCCTTCACACGTGGAATACGCACGCTCGATCCACACAAAGGTGTAGGGTTGAAAACCAAACCTCTCGCATCGTGAAGAGAGGGTAAGATCGTCCATTCGAAGTAAAGAGATGAATATGCAATGAACATGTAAATATCCAGCTGACGGTATCCAGGGGTCTGCCGACGACTAGTCCGTCACCCCGTCCCATGATGCTGCAACATCCCCGCGGCCCCGCCCCCATGTCCTCGTTTCTTTTTGCAGTTTGCATGGAGTGCCCCCACACCGGTGAGATGGCACATTGAATGATGTCGCGACACCCATTCGATGCCAGTAGACCGACTGGTTGATACGGCAGACAAAATGCAGCACGCCTCGATCTGTCTGCAGCATGGTGGTTCTAGAGCCCCTAGCCTTTGGTATCCCCCCTGACTCTCTCACCCAACCCCAAATGCACGGCTTCTAAACCAATCTAGCGTCTAGATCAGACGTCACTGGGAGGATACTGTTGGCTGAAGCATAGTGACGATATAGTACTGATTGGGTTTAGAATCTCTGAGTCAAGTACTTACTCTGCCGTCAGAAGTACAAACATCTTGTCAAGTTGACCGCATTGATCCCTTGATTCGCCCGAGTACTCTTGAATTAGGTGTATCCCCAAAGCATGGACAGCCTCGGGCACGAAGGCGTCGAGAGGCAGATACCTCAAACTTGGCGGTGGAAGATTCAAGTTCACAAAGCTGACCTGTGGTACCTTATCTCTCTCAAGCATTTCAATCACCTGGGTATACCCTACATGCAGCTGTTTCTGCCGAATCTCACATCAAGGGTGGAGAAGTGTCTTGCTGCCCATCGTTGATCGTGATAGGTGAGGCAGAAAGAATGAGAGACTGTCAACGTTGCACCCTAACAGCCCTGGTAAATTGAAATGCCAACGATCTACGAAGTAACGAGAACGGATGAGGTACCCCCTGATCCACACTTTTTGTGTAAGTAGCTTACATTCAGACCATGTCAGTTGAAAGTAAGATCTGAGAGCTGAGATTCAGAGACTGCGATGGGGCACACGGAGCCGTGCCTCTACAACTCCTTGGACAGAGCTTAGCGAAGAAGGGCACGATACACGCGTTCTTGCAGACGAATGCGAAAGAGAGCAATTGACTCAATTCTCGTACCAGTAATGGTAGCACTTTGCGATACCAAGAAACCACAAACCAATGAAAAACAAGTTCCAAGCATCCAAAAGCAAAGAGCGACTATTCTTGTGGCAAATGTTGAATATGCCCCGACGCACATCCTCAGGCGCCCGCCTGTGAGCATCACGCGCCCTCTCCGGAGCGGATCCCCCACCTGGGTCTGGCATGTAACGATAGAGGGCTAGATTGCGGTCCATCGCAAAAGGACCGCGGCGGCGATGACTGGAAGGACGCTGACTAGTTCACCCAAGCCCGCAAATTCGGGCGGAATCCTGGCGTTGACAAACGCGCCAGCGCCGAGGAGAATAGCAAACACGTTATATACGAAGCTCCAGCCAAAGTTGAAGGCAATCCTGTGGATAGCTTTCTTGCTAATGGCAATGATGGTGAGAATCCCCGCAAGGCTCGGACGCATGAGAACGACGTCCGCGGCGGACTTTGCGACGTCGGTCCCCTCGTTCATGTGCACGCCAATGGTGGCCTGTGCCAGTGCAACTGCATCGTTAGTTCCATCGCCACAGAAGATGATGACTGGCTCTTTCGGCTTCTTTGCTCTGAATCGGCGGGCGTCGGACAAAGGTTGCGACAGTAGGTTCTGGATGTACTCTTGCTTGTCGCCAGGGGTGCATCGGGAACGAACGTTTAGATCTGAGATGCCCAATCGTGAAGCCACTGTTCGAACGGCACCATCATCATCCCCTGAGAGGATGTGAACAGAAATGCCGGAAGCCTGGAGATTGGAAATTGTTTCAAGAGCATCTGTGCGGATAGAGTCTTCGAGGCCAAAGACAGCAACCAAGGAGTTGTCCACAGTAAAGCAGAAGGCTGTGTAGCTCTTGGATAGGACTGATTGAACCCTGGGGTCGTTAGAGAGACCAAGCCAACGCGAGTTGCCAGCTCGAAGAGTGGCACCGTCGAGTTTCGCCTCAACACCCTTGCCCGTTAGGGCCTTCAGATCCGTAACAGCTGTAGGTGTAGCAACGTGTGCTTTCAAATGAGTGAAAATGGCAACAGAGACTGGGTGTTTGATGGTGCCAACGAGGCCGAGAAGCACCGATCTGATGGTCTCTTGATCTTTTGTAAAGTATGTCTCGTGCGCAACTCTGAGATTTCCAGTTGTAAGGGTTCCGGTTTTGTCAAAGACAACGTGCGAAGTCTTATAGGCAAGCTCAATGCTGTCCGCAGATTTGAAGACGATACCCTTTTCGGCAGCTACACCACTCGCGATTAAAATGACCATGGGTACTGCGAGGCCTATAGCGCATGGGCAAGATACAATGAGGACGGTGATGGCGTATGTTACCGCCTGGATAGTTGCTTCAGAGCCACCCTGCTTGCGGACCGCAATACCAACAGCAATCCAAATCGAGAAAGTGATGATGGTGATGGCCATCACTACCGGTACGAAGTATGAAGCGACTCTATCGGCAATGTCCTGGATCTTTGGCTTAGAAAGCTTAGCCTCGTCGACCATTCCGGCGATATTGCTGATGGTGTTATTGCCAGGAAGCCTGTTCAGACGAACGGTAAGAGAGCCAAAGCCGTTTACAGTGCCAGCAATGACTGAGGATCCGGTGGACTTTTCGATGCGTCCTGACTCCCCAGTCATCATTGACTCATCAACTTGCGAGAAACCTGAGATAACTGTCCCATCGGTAGGGATTCTGGAATCAGGGACGACCTTGAAGATGTCTCCGTACTGGAGGAGACGGGCGTCAATCTCCTCATCCCCACCAACTGAATTAACAATCAGAGCCGTCGAGATCTGAAGAGATCGTATCGAGATAGACTCGACGGCTTTGTGTCGCGCTAGAGCGCTCACATACCTACCTACCATAATGAGCGTTACAAGAAGGGTACTCGTTTCGAAAAACTCCCCAGTCGAAAGAGGCTTCTGAGAGACAAGAAACCCAAATGACACAACGGAGAAGATGTAAGCGGCACTTGTGCTTAGCACAATCAATAGATCCATCTCAATAACTCGTGAAAAGATCAAGCTCTTCAAAGCTTTTGGATAGAATGGCCCAGCAATTGCGACTTGTACAATCGTCGCCAAGGCTAGCGATGCCGAGCCATATGCTATTTCTCTTTTTGGAAGAGGTGCCCAGGCCATTATGAGAACGGGAATCGTCAGGATAGTTGAAAGCAAAGTTATGCATCCCATGTTGCGAATGTGCTTGCTTCCAGCCTCCAACGAAGGATCCGCTCGAGGTGGCGCCAGCGTAACAGGCGTTCCCCAGCCTGTTTCGACCAGATCACGGGCTCCGACGACCTTCGCATCAAATTCAACATGAACAATGGCCTTGTCTATGACCCGAATGTCCGTGACACCATTGGGCCATGGATGATTGATGAAATCTTGGGGATCGCCAGGGCAGACGATGTCAACACTGGCAGCACCCTGCATGGTGATCTTTTCGCATTTGAACTCAGTTGTACGTTCGAGATGTTTGATGACTTCATCCACCGAGCCGGCGCCAATGTTCAAGTCGAATTCGGCTCGAGCCAACACCAAGCTAGTCTTCAGGTTTTTGACTGCGTTCATCGTGGCCAGAGTTCGTCTGAGTTTTGTTTCGCACCCAGTGCAGGTCATGCCAGAAATGCTCAGCACGACGTGTTCTTTTCCAACAAGGCCTTGTTCAAGATCCTCGTTCACACTCTTCGGCTCAGGCGGTAACGATTGGTTAATAGGTCTCGAAGGCGACTCGTCGCAACAGGAGTCGGCACATGATCCAACAATGCTCTGCGTTTTGGGCTTCGAGCAGCAACCATCGTTACATGTACCTGGTTTGATGCCAGACCTTGAACTGCGAGTTGGCTTTTTGCCGCATTTCCTTGGTCCCGGACGGGAAGCAGATTTGTCCACCCCGGAAGCGCTGCAGGAATCAACCGATGTGCGATGAAGAGACGCGGATTTCTTTGAAGATCGCTTCCTTTCGATGGAGGAGCGCTCACGAGGAGCACAGCAAGATTCCTGGCCGAGAGCAAGAAGTGCACGGCAGATACAGCCCAAGGCATCAAGCTTTGACTGATAAATCTGACGTACGCTTCGAGAATGACCTCGGCACGCCTTGCCGTCTTGGCCGCCAGTGCAGTTATTGTCTGTGGAGGCTTGTGTGGATCATATTAGCAGCTGGAAAAAGTGAGCTCTTTGCACGAGAATTTACCTTGGTAGGTCTGCGGAAGCTTTGAAGCCTTTCCGTTTGCGCACTCGCGCAGAGCGAGGCGATCGATGCAAGTAGAGTCGCAGCAAGGTGACGTCTTGCCCTCACAACAGCTGGGTGTCTTCTCTCCACGAACGTCAGGTGCAGGACCAGAGGAGCAACAACCCTTTTTGCCATCGTCTGAGCAGATCTTTACAGGTTCATCACCATCAGATTCGGTCACGGCAATAACTTCGCCCGCCACTGCTTTGATTGATGTGGTCTCAGGGCTGTCAGTAGGTCTTTTGCCCCTCGCCGAGCCACAACATCCTGAAGAGCACTTCTTGGATTTCGGGGCACAAGAGTCCTGCTTGGAATCGGGAGTGTTGATCGAGGCCGCGGTTGACTTGAAGGCGAGGTCGTCTTGTTCAGATTGGCATCCAACGCCAGGAACCTTCTTTGCGGACTCGTCAGGAGACTCGGCGATGGTACTGCTTTTAGCGCTGATTACAGCAACTTGTTCATTATGAGACCCGTAGCAAGCGTTCGCAAAGTCGCCAACCTTGACCTTTGGAGCGCAACAATCTTCTTCGACTTGTGCTGAGTCAATGCTGCCGTCGTTGGACGCAGCGCAGCAGTTCTGGAGAATTGTGTTTCCAGAGTCCCTGTCTCTTCCATGATCGGTCGTCTTGCATGCTTCCACCTTAGCTTCAATGACGGCATTCAAATCGCTCTCCTCAACCGCGCAGCAGGTGTCGACAACATCAGGAGAGTCGCGGTCCAATCCATCTGGGGGCGAGGCGACTAGAGGCGGGTTGTCCCTCGCGAAAGCCTGTTCCTGTGGAGGACCGCAGCAGCCGGATCCACAGGCCATGGAGAAAGTTTTGACGGCGAGTATGTAGTTCTTGTGATTTTCTTCTCTGAGATTGTGACCCTGACGTGTGATGCGATGGACAGATGAGACGACACGTCGGCGGCACTTCACGGGAGCTTTTGGGGGAACTGCGGGTCCGGCCACAGAGGCACGTGCCCGGAGGGGTGGATCAACCACACCCGCTTCCGGGTCGCTTAGGTAATGAGGCTAGACGCCACACATAATGTGGCGGGGCAAGTCAATCATGGGCGGATTGTGTGTAATCCTTCAACATCTTCGACTCTCGTTTTGTTCATCATTGATTGCTAGCTTTCACAACAGATGTTTTTTGAAGGACCTGAACATAATTCCAGCCGAAACCATAATTTGCATGAGGTTCTCGGAACTATAAGACTACACGTGGCTCTCTCCCTTCAGGGTCTGCTTCTTCTTCCCGGACACAGAAGAGATACGCTGAAGGCCAAGATGCGGAGTCGAGGGCAACTGGTTTACAGACAGTACCATTTCGCACCATGATCTCGGCGCTGGGCACCGGATTAGACTTACATAAACATGATAGAACCGATACTTCTCTGGTTCATAGGCTCCTCCGGTCACAGCTGGCAAGCTCAGACTGTGATCACTGACAAACGCGTTGACGAAAGAATCCGACTGGCACTGAGCACCTGTACTCTACAGAGATCGCCAAACGTAGTATTTGACAATTCGTTGTCTCCTAGGGTAATCTCCTTGATAGCGCCAACTCAGCTGACCCATCCTACATCAATGCGCTCTCATAGACTTCTGGCTCTTCTTGCTTGACTTTCCGGAGGATGACTTGTGCCGTTTAGAACTGTACTCCAAATCGACCCTGTAGGCCGCGCTTCGGCTTGCTGAAGTCACAGATCCATAAGAGGTATTGCCGGATGTAGACGATTTGTAAGAGTTGTTGCTTCTTGAACACGAGCCTGATGCGGAGGGCGACACAGTGTCTGCGTTCTCATCCACAGGAGGAAACCCGTTGATCTTGGATAAGGCAGAACCTCGACGGTGAGAGCGACTAGAAGAGCCATAGCCAAACCTGCGGCTAGCAGCCCCCTGACGGAGCTCACTGAATGCCATATCTGGGGTGGTCGCTCGTGTTGGGACTAGGCCGGTTGTTTAGCTCAATGGTTAACAGGTGTACATCGAGGATTGATAGACCCACGGTAACGTGCGCATTCGGCACAGCACCCATGATCACAAGTCTCAGACTCATTGACAGGGGCGGAGATACCATGGCCTGGTGTGGCTTTTGGCATTGTACACCAGCCCTGGGTATTGGGACCTTGGTTACACTGACAACAGGTCCAGGTGCCACCCATCGCCTTGAACTGACAGTTGATCAAAGGACAGTCGGCATTGCTGGGTTGGGCGGTTGCATAACTCAGGTGTGAGCAAGGAGTCTCTACACCCGTTTCGAGATCAATCAGGGCCGAAGGGCAGTAGTGCCAGTTGATCGAAGTGTGTGAGCAAGGGTGGAGACGAGGGTGGCCGTGACACATGGTGAAAGATGGCGATGTGCAGATTTGTTTAAACTTGACGAAACAAAAGTATGAAGTCACTGTAGTGAGATATTCAACGACTGATGGCGGTAATCTGTGAAGTTGACTGGAATTCGCTCATCCAAGCAGCTTCCTGTATCTTATATACTTCATCGTTTCCGCCTTCTTGATGACCTCTCCTTGCACATCATAAAATTTGTACAAAGTTACCGCACTTCCATGATCACTATTCCGTCCTAACTGCCGATGAACGCCTCCGTTGGTTTCTTTTCTCACAGCTACTGACACATGTTCACTTCTTACCAACCATCTCGAACACCACCCTCACTCCACATCTCATCTGTCATCACCCCTCGCTCACCGACAGTAAGGGTCGTGGAACCTAGGGTCAAAGATGGCCCCAATTGACTGTTTCTGGGATTCCAATGTCTCGGGCTGCATGGTGAATGGGTTGTTTGGCGTGAATGTTATGTGTTGCATCCATACTTGAGGGTGCGGAAACATAGATCAGGCAGCCAATGAAACAACCTGCTTGTGCGGCCAGGGCTCTCCCAACACGCCCTCATCAAATCTGGGTGAAGTCTCCGACGGGAACTCGCAGCTTTGTGTCACACCGGTCCACCCATTATTGCGACACGACGATCTCCACCGTCATCAATCTCTGTGTTACGCGTCTTACATCGCATCCATGGGGATGAATTCCTCCACGAGTGGTTTGAGCAGCGGATGAGAAGCCCGCCCTCCCGGTGCCTGGGTTCGTAAGATCTCGCTAGGAAGCTTGACGCATGACCATCTTGTGATAGTCTGAATGGAGGGTTTCACGATAATCACGATCCTTATTCGGGGCTAATATTGGACCCGATAATACTTAGCCTCGCCAATCGGCTGCTCCAAAATCTGAGTGGTCGAGAGGAAAGTGGCGTGAGTTAGGAGGGGTTGGTTGGCTGGATCGAAATGCAAGAGTGCAGGATCTGGAGACTGAGCTGGGTAGCTGCTTAATGTGACCCAAGTTGGACCCCATCCGATCACGATCTCGAGATCACGTTCAACTACTCACAGATACGGAATCTGGGCAAATATCATGCAGGAACGCGGCACCGAAAAAGGTTGCGGACAATTTCATCACTTAGGAATATTAGATACATTATACAGTGTAAGACAATCCGGTTGTCTGAGATTCCCCTGCAAGCACCCATTGCCACCGACGATGGCGATGGATGTCACTATGAGAACTTGCTGGCTTACTCGACCACTGCGAGATTATTGAAGAGAAAACAAGTGGAACCTATCCTTTCTATGTATTTCTGCACCCACCACTGATTCATACTATCCTTTCCTGGGTTTGGGCTCCTCCAAAAGATAGATTGCCATGACGTCTAGTCACTTGAGGATCTCAAGCTGAGTCTTTCTCCTTCTTTTACGTCACCTCCTAAGCTCCAAGAAGTGATTTGATTCCACAGGCCACTCGCTTAATTGCTCCATCATATTCTTGGAAATATTCAACCATCCATGGCGGCAGTACATGTCGAGCAGCAGATATGCTCGCAGCGGTACTGGTTTCCGTCAATGATCATGATGCAGCTACATCTGCCTCCATCGTTCCAACCCTTGCCACACCAGCAGCAGTTCCAGCATCTGTTGCGGCTTTCGTATGGGCAGTCTGCCAAAGGGCACTTTGGCAAGGCTCTCTGGTCATAGCCTGGGGGAGGAGGGTACGGAATGTTTTGTTGAGTGTCATCTCTGCAGGTTTTGCGTTTGGATGGATCTTTTTTCGAGGATGTCGAAGCCTTGGAGCAATATTCGATTTGAGTCTGGATATGCTCGCAGGGCAACTTGAAAGCTATGGTGTGGCACATGACGTCTTCGAGGTTTTCGAATGTAAATGTACTTTTCGATATGCGGATGTTGCAGTTCAAAAGTTACGAAGATAGAGAAGCTGGAGTTGTACAGTCAAATAAAGATTTGAGAGTCACAGGCACGATGCGATGCTCAATGTTCTGATGTTACTTTCAGGTCCTGAAATACTCCTCGACTATTCTGGGGTTTCAATCCTCAACTATATACTCAGGATCTCCGGACAGAAGGTTACAGAAGAAGCAGATTCGGCGATCTACTCCGACCTGTCGGTAAGCATATTGAGGCGGCCACGATTTCTTCCCCTTCCCCTGACGATCAGTTACCACTGCATTGGGTCCCAAGCGGAGGCTTTGGCGGCCTGTTTGCAGAAGGTGAGCAAATGACTCGCAAGATGCATCCAAGAACAAATAGTTTGAAGGGTTATTGAAAGAAAAACGTGGCAGCCAGGTCTCTGATATGTATCAGGGACCGACTTCGGACGCGTTGAATCCCGGGACTTGATCCGTATCTGCTTTCCGTTAGAACAAAATCGCGACAGACACTTTAGTCAGGCAAATGTGCGAACCATTTGGGTGAAACACGCAGTAGAAAAGATAGCATTTCGATTGGTCTATATTGCTTCATGTAATGCAAAGGCTCCCAAGCCTCCTCGCCTCCATCGTTCAGCCTCGTGCGTGTAGTTGGGCTCGTGGTGAACAGCCAGGAAGCAAGTTGATCACCAGGAGGCGCTCTCGGCCGACGACAACACCCCCTGCCTGATTTTCTCTCCAATCTAACTGGTCTTCATCCCGATACGTGTACGACCCGACATCAGCTGCTGGACTAGGGCTTAAAAGCCTAGACTCTGATACCCATCTTTCCACGGCTCATGAAGAGCCGAGAACTTGGGTGTGGCGGCTGGTGAACGAGCATCGAGTGAGATATGGCGCCACTTCTGGAATAGCAAATCGTCGGTCTGTCGAAAGATTCCAAATCGCTTTTGCGAACTCCTCGTGTATTCTTCCCTGTCTCCACGTCGTCGTCTATCAATGAAGCTCAGTGGCTGCGAGGTGCTCATCACCTTGTCTTGCCCTACTAAGGTCGTCAGGACTCAGGTGTTAGTGTCCGCCGTACAATTTCTGCAGACTCGATGGTAGCAGAAAGTGTCTGGACTCTTCTTCATTTTGTGTCGACACCAGCGCAGTGTGTTGCTTCCTCTGCTGCATTGACAACAGTTCCAATAGCCGTTCAACTCTTGCAAACGGCAGCCGCCGGCACTGCAATCAGGAGAAATCAGACAGCCTCCAGTTGCACAAGGATTATCAAAATCAACATTCTGGACCGCATTGGAAGTGACTTTATCGCAGGGAGTCTGAAAATTGCCATCCGAATCTCTTCCAGCGTCCATGCAAAATTCCCAATGGAAGACATTGTCAATCGGCCGAGGGCACGGCTGAACGTGGTGGTGGTGAAGGTAGGACCAAGTGCACATGGTTGATGTTCCTAAGCTGAGCTGAAAAATTCCAAAGTTTTGGTAGTCTTCACGAGGGCTGCTGCCGTATGTTCTTCCCCGTTTAGGTAGTTGCAGGTAGTAAGGTATCGAAATGTCGACAACAGGAAGGAAAAGGGGTCCTAGACAAGATGCGGAGACCGATCTCGAGGACAGGAAATCCCGTGGTTGATCGAAATATCGCGTGACACAAAGATGCGAGCTCCGAACAGATGTTTTGTGTAAGCAGTGGGAGCCAAGAGACGGTTCGAGGAATTGCGGACTCTAGGCGAACTGGGTTGATTGTGTATGATGGAACTGAGTGTCGATCTGGGCCGACTTATGAACAGAATTTCGATAAAATTGATTATCACAAGCAGTCTGCATCTGCTAGAGAAGGTAACAGTGGGTTGTTGAGTAGGAGCAAAGTGACTTAGTGAATCGGTTTGATATTGATTGGGACGGCACACTTGTGATGTTTGATGCCGTTGTCGCCGAGTGTTTCGATACTTCTGAGTGCAGATATGAATCCTCTTATACACCATACCATTGGAATTTTCGTAAAGTCCTTGACACATCTCGCAGCTACTTCTCCCTGAACCTCGAGTATTGGGCATCTGGCCCATCTCAAAGCCCCGGCTCGTCACTACCACGCTGTTGGGACCTGGCCACCTCATTTCTCTGATGTTTGCCTCACGAACCCTAAGGGAATGGCACGATTTCTCTTCCAGGCTTCAATAATTGGCCGCCATTGTCAAACCTATGGGTCGCAATTCAGACTGTTCCTCCGGAGAATGGCGAAGCACGTGGCTTGCCCATGCTTACCGGTCTTGCAACCAGGGTTCTCTTCAATGTGAAGTTCCAATGATATCAAGAGGAATGAGACACAGAGGCACACTTTTGTAACAATGCACAACTTCGGGAAAATTGCCTTTTCGTCGCCCATATGGAGGCCACATGAGATGGGCATGGCAATCAGCCACAAAGGCGCTATTCACCCCGGCTCCCACGAGTTGCCATTCTCGATTCCGGGCTCCTGGTTCCGGGTTCCAAGGCTGATGAGACTAGCGATAATGTTTACCCATCATCGCGATATTCGAAGGCGTTCTAGAAACCCCTTAATGTGTGTAGAGCACCTTTCTCGAAGCTGATATGGGACAACACCATGTACCCCAGAGTTGCCTTGTTCCAAAGTGGATGTACAGTTTTTTCGTGTGCTCCCGGGCCTCAAGACTCAGTTCCACGAAGCTTCCCTTGTTTCCAATCATGAGAAACCGTCCAGTTCCCCCGACCAATGCCAGTGTAAGAGATTGATGACCCAATGCATCTTGTTCGCAATCACGTCGGCTTATTGGGGGAGGAAAGAGGGGTAGGTACAGTGAGATAAAATGATGTACACAGGAGAGGGCTTGTAGGATGTGTCCGACTATTCCCTTTGGCCCTGCCTCATCGAGAGCTGCAAGATATAGTGTAATCTTAGATTTGGGCTCGAAATCGAGATTCCAGTAGGAGTCAAGTTAATAGCGGCCGACTCCTACACATCACCGGCGTTTGGCGCGGTATATGGGGTCACACATAACTTATGCCACAGTCTTCAGCCCGAATACTGCGGCAGCTGTGTGGTCTAATTGAAGGAGCGTGCGCCAAAGGAGTATACCATACCTCAGATATCACGATCTTTGACTTTATTGGAATCTTCCTGTGTGCTTGTAGCGCTATAATCGGTGGCCACGAACAGTTCCGACATCAAATTCACCTGCGAGAGCTCTTGCAAGGAAAATGACATGCAACAGCTAACACATTCATTCAGTAAGACGTAACCCCGAATATCTTGTCTCGCCAAAGTCTTAATATCAAACTAGGCACGATATCCAATGACAACGTTCGGCCAGCTCCGACGCAGAAGGGTAGACTACTGTAAGAGCAAACTACTGTAAGACACGTTAGATCAACCACTTATAGCAAGGCCCAGCCGCTCCTGTGGCTGTTTGAAATGGTGACACTGCATGATGGTCAGCAGAAAGTGCGATCAAGGTCTGTCAAGTCATGCAGGCTATAGTGGAAGATACTGATGGCTGATATGGAGGCTTTTTGGCGTACTTCACGGGTCCCGAGACACCGGAAGTCCATTCTTCAGCGACGGAGTGGCTGGAACAAGATATCAAGCTTCTCTGTCCGGCCTTCTCTCACTCGCCATACCCAAGTATGTTGGTCTTATCACCGATCAATCGTCTTGATCGAACCCTAAGGCGTTGAAATTTCGCGTATTGTCAAACATCGGGTCGGAACACTCTTCCGAATTGGGAATTCATGCCGGAGATATATCATACGAGAGCAAATCCGCCTACCGAAACTGCAATGCGGCTGTACGTTCCCGCCGGCTACACAAGGTCGAGCATTGGCTCCTCGGTTACCAGCAGAGCTGGGAAAGCGCAAGACCTTCCCCATTGAGATGCGTCTCTATCAACTAAAAATGACAGATGCAGCTGAGATAGCCATAAGATATTCAATAGCTTCACTCCTCGGAGCTGATTCAAAGCTTACGGCCGCAGAAATCGGAGACTGCGCTTCATGGGCAATTGAAGCTGGACTTGGACGATACCAGACTCTAGATCTCCACGTAAGCCGTAACACGGACAAGTCTGAATCAAATTGAGGCAAGTTTCCAGGGTGGCACAAAAGGCCTAGATCCGAAAGACTCGAAGCTGTGCAAGTGGGAGCCCTGGAAGCCCATGTCTCATTAAACGATGTTTAGCGCCGCCATCGAGAGCCCAAGTACCTTATTCGGAAAGAAAGAAGATTCGTCACTGAACGATTCGAAATGCTGACAACCTGCACCATTCTCTTCGCAATTGTGTGCTTACCAACTGATTTGGTTTGGTCCTCATCTTACAGAGTACCTATGTGCCATCCGTTTCTCTCAATTGTATTCATAGCCTCAGCTAGCTAAGCTGGACTGAGTGCACAAGCGCTTGACGTCAAGATGATGCCTGAACATGTTGAAGGGCGTATTGTTTCTTAAAGCTCAACACTGAAATGACTAGCGATCAATGGCAAATCTTCTAACTTTATGTGAGATCTTCAACGAAAGCCATCGCGCGTCTAACAGTTACTCATGAGGCTATCCTCAATGAATATTTCCAAGCTCTACCGCAGGTGTACCAAGTCAATTTGTTCGTTTCTCATTAGTAGAAGCTCTTGGGCGGTTGACGAAAAGCTAAAAAGATGCCAAGACATCTGAGCTTCTCGCGGTCTCACTAAGTGAGACGTAAATTGCCAGCCTTCTGTCGATGGAAGAGAACTCAGTAAGACAACTCACTGCTCCGATCGCAATCGTCTTAGTCTCGACTGCATGATTGGATGCTCCTCCCGAAAATCAGCACGGTAAACATAGAATGGCATGATCATAAACTAAGGGAGCACCCCATGAGCCGTTTGCGTTCCGGACTTTTCACACTTAAAACCAATCACCGCCTTCCTCCCCACATGCTTCAAATGATCCAATCCGAATCCGCTAACAACAAGCGCGAGGAGCTGAAAATCTTCAGCCGCTCCACGAGAAATCAGGGGCAGTTGACCGTTCAACCCCTCATCCGCACCCGTAGTTGCCGGTGGGTGTCTTGCCGCATCTAGGCAAGTGGTGATCCACGGTTCGAACCTTGTCACGCTCGTCAACCTTGTTAGCATGGTGTTGTCTCAGTAGAGAGCGGAACGCGACCAATCATTTCTAGCCCCTTACTTGCCGGCCCGTTCCTTGGGCTGGGCCGACGGCTGACAACATCAGAAGCGGGCTGTCGCTTCGGTCACATATCTTATTTCTCTTCATGCAAGTGTTCGTTCTTCCGAGATTCCTCTGTGGTGCTCTGAGGATCTCCTATCACACTTCCATAGATGCAGAAGACGGTACTCATGGTAAGGTAGTCGGACCACCTTAGTACCATCCAGTACTGAACTTTAAGATTGACTATGAAACATGAATATCTGCCAGCCGTAATTCTGATTCAAGTCAAGATCCCCGAATTGTATCCCGCAGGTTACTTGGAAGTTAGTGGAATTCGTGGCGGTTAACATTTCTATCAATTCACGTTCCATGTCCGGTTGCGATTTTGAATCGAAGCGCCACGCCGTTCCAGTCCAAAGTCATCACAGCCTCGAATGTATCCCTACCCAGCCATCAGTAGACTGAGGGCTGAATGATCCGCGAACGTAAATGAAGGCAAAAGCCTAGGCTTGCTGGTATGATAACGTGACGATCCGAATCGTGCTCAAAAATGCTCAAATCCCCTTTCTCATGAGTCCCTTGAAGCAAAGCCTGTCGAGGGGGTTCTGATCATTTACTTTGTAAGCCAGCTTTGAGCTGCCCTGCCAAAAGAAAGTCATCATGTTGGCCCTTCGACATGTTTGGATCATCGTTACTGATGTTGCCAATTCACTCTTCGGTTCGCCCTTCTTTCGGGACGGACCTCAACACCACCTAGGAGCCAAGTTTAGCTGGTCTCACATCGGCCTAGAGACCGCTGGACATGGCAGTCCTGTCTTCACGCCTCCCGGCAGCAACATTGACAAATTTGTCTGCGACTACAGCCATATGAAAGGCTTCAAGGCATGTGGCACTGCAGATGACCGGAAATGTTGGCTTCGCAATCCGGATACTGGAGAAGAGTACAACATCACAACCGATTATGAGAACAAGGTGCCACAAGGCATCACCCGTGTTTACTACCTCAACGTTACAGATGGATCCATCAATGCCAACGGCCAGGAATTCACCGAAGCGAAGTTATTCAACAACTCTTGGCCTGGGCCTCTCATTGAAGCTTGCTGGGGTGATACCGTGGAAATTCACGTTCAGAACTTCCTCGTCAACAACGGAACCAGCATTCACTGGCATGGTATCAGGCAGAATCAAACGATGCACATGGACGGTGTCAACGGCATCACACAATGCCCCATCGCCCCGCAGTCCAGCTTTGTTTACCGGTGGAATGCCACACAGTACGGCACTTCATGGTATCACAGCCATTACTCAGTTCAGTACGCCGACGGAGTGCAAGCTCCCATTGTAAGTCCTATTGCTTGAGTTTCAGTCTCTTCAAAATTCGAATGCTAATCATCCTACCTTACTTCAGACCATTCACGGGCCAACATCATTCCCGTATGACGAGGCTATCGAGCCAATCTCGGTGACTGATTGGGGTGAGTCAGGCCAAGCCATGCCTGCATTGTCTTGCTGCATCGAGCTGATACTAATTAATGGATTTCAGCGAACAATAGCGCATTTGAAAACTTGTATGTACCTGCAACGGGTCAAGACATCCTGCTGGGTGGCAAAGGGAACATCAATCGATTCACTGGAGGTATTGAAAACACCACAGAGATCCCCCGTGGTTACGAGATTTGGTTCGATGACATCGATCCCAACCCTGTTACGAGAGCAAAGCGGTATCTCCTACGCCTTGTCAACACCGCATTTCAATCCACGTTTATCTTCTCCATCGACAACCACAATTTTACCGTTGTTGAGGCAGACTTTGTCCCCGTTGAGCCATTTAACGCTACTTCTATTCTCATCGCCATCGGACAGAGGTATCACATTATCGTCGAGGCAAAGCCGGTTGTCAATAGCTCGAACCCCGATGCTAATCCTTTACCGGAGGATGGTAATTTCTGGATTCGCACCCAGGTGCCACTGCAAGAAGGCACGAACCGGACATCAGAAGGCAACGCCACTGTGGACGTGAACAACTACATGAAGACCGGTATCCTGCGTTACGACAGTTCCAGTACAGCAGACCCCACTACCACGGGTTGGAACATCAGTCTCGTTGTCTCAGATACTGAGTTCAACGACAAGCTTGTACCCACTGTTCCCTGGACGGTTGGGCCCCCCTCAAACGGCAAAATCGGGGAAGAATTCAATATCGCGGACCTGAGCAACGCAGCAAACCAAAACGGTCCATACGCGACAGCGTTTTTCTCTTTCGAGCGACCGGACAGCAAGGACGTTCGACCTTTCCAGACCACCTATGGCAATCCTACCTTCTTGAACCTCGACAATGTTGGCGATGAGTGGCCGACAGGATGGGTTATCGTGCCGGAGAACTATACCGCTGATGACTGGGTGAGTTTGGTTGCGCGTAGGATACTATCATCAAATGTGTTACTGATTGGCAACTTACATAGGTATATCTGGTTCTTAACTCCGATAACAACGACAAGACCCACCCAACATATGGTCCTCATCCAGTGAGTAGCAGTAGCGGTAGCCCCTATTTAGATTTGGCACGAAACTGACTGTATTAAGATCCATCTCCACGGCCATGATTTTGCCATCGTCGAGCAGGCGGATGACAAGTTATGGAACCCCAAAGACTTCAACCTCGAGAAGATTAAAAGGAACAATCCCCCCCGCCGTGACGTGGTACTGCTTCCCAATAGCGGCTACGCTGTCATTGCCTTCAAGTCAGATAATCCCGGCGTGTGGTTAATGCACTGCCACATTGCTCGCCACGCCTCTGCGGGCCTGTCTCTACAAATAATGGAACGACAGGCCGACGCCAACCTCATTTGGCCCGCCGGGAACTCTCAGGCTCTTGATAATGCCCACAGTCTCTGTGCAAGCTGGAATACTTGGGCGTATGACTGCAAGAACTACTGGCCTGGCAACCAGGGTACTGATGACAGTCCGGACTACCCCGCCTGCGCCGACGCCACGAATCTGCAAAACGATTCTGGAGTTTGAAAGAGGCCGAGCGCACTGAGAGGATGACCATGATTCACACGTGTGATGTGGCGGTCTAATAATGTGGGGGACGATGGAATGAGAAGCGCAAGGAAGAAGATAGGGTATAGGAGCATGCTGAAGAGTCAGCAAGAGAGAAATCCTGAGAAGAAATCGGTAAAGATAGCAACATGATTGACGTCCAAGAGTTCCGGTGACTAGCAGCCGTAGCTGATGTGGGCAAGGCAACTGGTAGCAACAGAAAGGCCATTCAACCCGTTCCACCGAAGCAAACAACTTAGATTCGCTCTTATTGTCCTCTCAGCTCTCCCGGCTGGGCGGATTCATGCAGCCGTTGAGCCAATCTTCCATCAAGTGCCAAGCTCACACATGGCCCGGCCAATGGGCACATTGCAATTGTATCTTGGTGTGGTATGCGACCCGGCGGCACGGTAGTCGCGTGGCTTATCAAACGGGCGACGACCAACAGCCAAATTTGATGGTGGCGTTCTGGGTCTGCGCTGTTGAGAACGCATGTAAGCGCTGACGCCCAGAACAGATATACGAGTGAGCGGCACTTTGTCCAAGGGACGCCGTTGAAGACAGCCTTGATTTGTCTTTTCCAGTCTGATCATCCCACGTCGCGATATCAGAGCAACGACAGTGAGGTGACAGTAAGCATGGATGAGATGTGTGAGTTGGCAGTGGATGCTGTTGAGTGGGTGTCTGACTGGTCAACTCTTTTGCCTGCGACGGGGTTCCCGGGGTCGAATGCGATGAGAGTCCTTCATGACTATCTTTATAAACCCCAACAAGAATCACGACAAGAAGTCAAATTCTCGTCCGAGACTCAGCAGCACCGGTCCAATTCGCCTATGATGCCATTCACAAAGTTCGCGGAGCTCCCTCCCGAACTCCGCCTCAAGATCTGGGATGAAGCAACAGCCGGACCGTCGATACATATCTTTGACGTGTGTTTTCCGTCCTGGCGCGGTACTGATCGAAGCAGACGGGCTTTCCAATCCGCAGACGGCAAGATTTCAGAGCAGAACCACGCCAGATGGACAAAGTACAGAGAGTGTGTCTTCTTGGACGCCCTTGAAACGGGTCCGGCGGAGCTTGCGCGGCGGACGAGGATTGCGAGACACATGCATGATCCATCCGTATACAAACAACGGCAAACGATGCGGTTAGTGTGTTCTGAAGCCTCGGCGGCTGTGGAGAGGTGGTTGAGGGGGAGGAACATGAACTCCATCTACCTCCCCGGTCGGAACCAGAAAATACACTACGACAACGAAGAAGATGTGCTGCTGTTGCGTTTCGGAGACGGCGGTGCCCTCACGGATCTCAGCCACGGGGTTTTGTCTGGCGAATATGAGGCGTCGGGAGTGAATAACTTGACCGAGGTGCTTGAAGGGCCGTGGAGCGCCGAGATAGCGGAGACGTTACGTGATGCGCGACTCATCGCTTTGGATATTGCGGAGATGTGGACGCCGGCAACAGTTGGGGCGGTGGTGTTTGAAGAGGTGGCGTACCTGGCATGTTGTATACAACGGGGACTCCGAGTGCTGTACTTGGTCGATCACTGTCACGGTCGATGTACCCGATGCAAGAAACAGGATATCACGAGATCTCAGCTCCAAACCCGCGGCGAACTATATTACCAGCTTCACAGTCGAGACAGAGATGCGGCTATATCACGGGTGGCGGACGTAATCCATGGCGTGGGAAAGACGTATCGGGAGGTGTTTAATTTGGAGGGCATGGGTTGGTCGGACGAGCACCCGATCTACGTGTTTGCGAGGGTTATGGACGAGATGATCAGGAGCCAGCAGGCAGACGCTGCTACGCAGGATTTGGAGGGAATCAGGGTGCTACTGGTGGAAGACGATGAGTTGGAGGGCGTGGACAACACGACGGTAATGGACTGTTATCCGGATAGCCGTTCAGAGGTCGCCAATGAGGGCGTGGACATGAGCCTGCGATAGTCGAGCTAGCGACGCGGGTGAGAACAAGAGACCTTCTCGGCGTAAGAAGAGCGAGATAAGCTGACTGACGAAAGGGTGCTTATTCCAGCTGGACCAAGTGGTTGGGTCGAATCGGCTGGCGTGGGGTAACGAGGAGATGATTTCGTCGAAACGACATATGTCGAAACTACTGAAAGGATGCGAGCTAGGGAGGGAGACCTTGTATTACTATAATCTCTGGAAGAAGAGACGTTATTGACAACAATATGGCCGCCGTAAACATTGACAAAACGTGCTGAAGCCCACCAGTTTTTCTCTACTGGGAATACCTTTTGACGCCATACTATGCATATACCACGCAAGCTCAAAACCACACATACACGTATAATTACCTCGCTAGAAACTGTGAATTGGTTAGCAACAGGGCTTAGAACATGGAATGATGATGATGGAGAAGGCCAGACTTACCGTATCTCATAGGAACCCGCTCTCGTCATGTACCGCACCCACTTGACGCTCGAATAGTTGCTCTTCTCGAACACCTTAAGGTACCTAACCAAGAGGCCTGAACTGGTAAACATCAACAAGCTAAAGTTGAGGCTCAGGGGCGGCCGCGACCAGGCGCGCTGATTCGTCATGCTCGTCAGGATAGCCTCGGCACTCAAGACAAACTCGCTCTGTCCCGTAAACCGCCCAATCTTCCACACAATGTTGTTCTCGCTGGGCTCGTACTTGGCCTTGCCCTGGGTGCATCGTTCCGTGATCTTAGCAGTGTTGAGCGGTGTAGGGATGCGGACAACGACGTTGGTGGCGAAGAGCTTTGCGCCAAAATTCGCCTTGATGCCGATGCTGTATTCGACCTTTGTGCGGCCGACCTCGTTGACGATGGCGTGGATCTTGAAGGGGAGGTTGACGTTCTCGGTGGCGCGGTAGCGCATGAGCTCGAACTCGCCATCGGGCGGGACGAAGGAGATGATGCGGTCGCTGTCGAACTTGCCCAACTTGACGCACTGGTGGAATTGACAGTCTTCGAGGGTGACACTGCCGGCGGCGGCCTTGGTGGCCTTTGTTCCCATCCTGTTTCCACTCGGTAGACTAAGGAGCCCGTCGTTATCGAGAAGTAGCCGGTCGTTAAGGCCGAACTTGCACTCTGGGGTACCGGAGAGGTAGGCGCGCATGACGATTTGACCCGTGACGTCGGCGCGGAGGACTGCTCCCGTGGCGGACATGAGAAGGTTGACGTCTTCGATCACGTCAACGAACGCCTCGTTCTTTCTGTACTTAACATCTGCCTTGCGCCACGAGAGCGCGCCTGTCGCCTGCATTGTAATCTTAGCCGAGTCCTCGGCGGCTCGTTCTGACTTGACGCCTTCGGTCGTGATGTACATCTTGAGGGTGTCGGTCTCGGTGTTTTGGGGGTAGCCAAAGTCAATGATCTCTGCAAGGCGAACGTTAGAAGGGAAACACTAGTAACACAGTCCATTGAGCTGGTGTGATGTGGCACGTACCGTCGAGCAGCTCATAGACAAGCACGAAGTTGTTCTTGACAGCCTCCTCATCAAACTTGCCAAAGTAGCCCCGTCCCAACGCAATTAAACGATAGAGGAACTCAAAGACCAGCGCAGCATTCGCATTGCTCTTGGTAATAGCAACAAGGTAAATGTTCTCATGCTTTACGTGGCTGAAGGTGGTGCTTCCAAGGGTCAAGATGGGGGACCGGACTTGCGAGTTCGAGATCACTTGAATCCGGAAGACGTCGGCAAGTCTGGGCCTGCAATCGTTGCGAAAGGCGCGGAAGATGAGGTTCTCGCCCTTTTGGTTGAAGATGAGGATTCCAGACAACATCGTGGCGGGTCAGGGGGTGAGGGCGCACGCGAGGGGAGCGACCACTGGGGATTGACGAGCGGACGGAGAGACGGGAGGGCGTGTTGTGGTGAACAGTAGTAGAGCTGGTGGGATGGGTGTGTTGGTGATTCTCGAAGCACAGGATCGCGGGCGGGACACGGCGGGGACAGCGGCGGGAACTGGCTCGGTCAGCCGTCAGGGGAGCTTCCACTTTGCGACTTGGTCGAGGGGGACGGTTTCGGGACCGGCGGGAAATTCTGCCAGGCCCCAAAAGGGTCCGGGCGGTGAGCCTCACGGTGGACCGGCGCTCCGTGCGGTGTGGGGCACAGTGGTCCATGCTTCTTTTCTTAGGTAAGCTCCCTGGAACCGCCTTACGTGATCCACTCACGTGCGGACTCCCGTCTTGACGTGTAACGGTCGGTACCTAGATACCTTGTCTTATGTAAGCACGGTGATCTGGACAGTGCCAATACATTTTGACACCTCCGCCCCGGTCGTCTTCCTCCTCTTACACACCCACCGTCACCACCACAACCACCATCACGAGTCTCCGCTCCCCAAGACAACAAAGTACGACCCTTATTCGTAACAGCATGCCTCTCTGATCTTCCGGACTGTTCTACGGATGGACTGCGATGTTGAGCACGGGACTGTGCATCCGAAAGATGCGCGTCGGTACCATGAACCCTTGGCATCTCACCACCAAGAGAAGAATCTGCCTCGACATGCTCATGTCACCACCCACCAACTGTATGCATAGCTGATAGTACACGGCTCTCGGTTGGTCATCTCTCCTCGCGTCAATGCTATTGATATCAGCGGCTTGCAATGTTATGTATACTCTCAAGCAAAGCCTCTTACACCGGCCACCAATTGCCACCGTGGTCATGACATGAGGTTGCTGGACGTCCAAATCTCGACGAAACGTCAATTTGGATCGTTCCCGCAGGCGTGGGAACCCAAGATTGAGGGCCGATGGTTATTAGGTAGGCAATCAGTATTGATTGCTTCCGCTCTTGACACTCATTAACCTCATTAACACCAGACAGGTCCGAGTACCACAGCACCACCATCGACGCGGTTCACCACCACACAAACCCCAATTTCTCCAACTCGCTTGTCGTCCCTTGCGTCTTGCCTCTTGCCCTCTTGAGTGCGGCTCCGACTAATCGCCACGATTATTCCTCTCTTCGCTGACGGTACCTGTCTCTGTACCTGGAGCCAAGCTACTTTCGCTTCGGCTTTCGATCCGCCAACTTCGCATCCCGTGACCGGTTACCTCTGTCTTTTACCTACACTTTCCGACACGTTCGCGATGCACTTCTCCGTCTTTAAATTAAATGGCATAGGCACGCTACTGCTACTCAGCGTTATCTCGGGCAACGAAGCCGCCTTTCCAATCGAGAGTTTGCTGGATTGCAACTTGACCGGAACGATTTAAAGAGCTTCCCGACCCCTCATGGCACCCTCTTCAACGGTCCCCACATCCATCACGCCCCCATGACCAACGCGCTCTTCCCTTCGTGGCTAATATGGAGCGTCGCCTCCGAGATGACTTACACTCCGTTACATCCAACACGCAGTTTGCCCACACCTTGGCTGGCGGACTTTTACTCCTTGACGCCATGGAATATCGACGGTGGCCGTAGTTTGCTGCAACCGCAAGCAATTCATGGCTCCATGCCCAGCTTTAGGGACCTGGTCCAGCATGCCGTCAACCAGGCGATTCCATGGTTCAAGACCCGTCCTTCGGATGTCTCTTCCATATCCCCATAGACCCATGGTAACGATGGCTCCCTCGACTTGGTCTGCTCTCTTGACGCTTTTCTCAATGGAGTAATCAAGCTCAAGATGCCGCTGCTTCACTCCGCGATCGTGGGGCAATGTCTCTCTCCCGCCGGCAGCCCAGAATAGGCCCAGCACACATCCATCCCGCCGTTCCGAAAGGCCAAGCGGTGTGTTCAAGAGATCCGAGTCCTCAACTCAGGTTGGCAACATGATAAAAGGACCATGTCCCAGGTTGTTCATCATCAGCTCCAGACTTGCAACCCACGGACATCATCCTCTCCAGAGTCAAGTCAATATCCCACAACAGAAGCAACCATGGCTGCTCGTGCGTTCCTCACTGCTGCCCTCTTGGGCACTGCAGCTCTTGCCGTTCCCATCGAGGAGAGGCAATCTTGCGGAGCCGTCTGGTAAGTAGGATATGCAGCTTGAACGAGGAAAGAATCTGATTGGTGACCAGGGCACAATGCGGCGGCCAAGGCTTCACCGGCCCAACGTGCTGTGCTTCTGGCAGCACTTGCGTCGTCAACAACGCTTATTACAGCCAGTGCTTGCCCGGCAGCGCCTCGTCCGCCAGCTCTGCTGCCGCTTCATCGACTGTTCGCTCTAGCTCTTCCGCAGTCGTTAGCCCTTCGCGAACCTCGACAACCGCCGGGGCCGGTACCACTACCACGCAGGCCGGAACTGCCACCACTAGCGCTCCCGCGGTCACCGGTGGTGCGACCTACACGGGCAACCCCTTTGCCGGAGTCAACCTCTGGGCCAACTCATACTATGCCTCCGAGATTACGACTTTGGCTATCCCGTCACTGAGCCCTGCTTTGCAGACGGCGGCTGCCGCCGTTGCCAAGGTCCCTACCTTCATGTGGATGTAAGTTATCTATGTTACGTACGTCGGTGTTGAAGGGCTCCTTTTGCTGACACCATCAAGGGACACTCGTGCCAAGATTCCCTTGGTTGACTCCACGCTGGCCGATATTCGCAAGGCCAACGCCGCTGGCGGCAACTACGCCGGCCAGTTCGTCGTCTACGATCTTCCCGACCGCGACTGCGCTGCTGCCGCCTCCAACGGCGAATACGCAATCGCTGACGGTGGTGTTGCCAAGTACAAGGAGTACATCGACGCCATACGCACTATGATTCTCAAGTACTCTGACATTCGCATTCTCCTGGTGATCGGTATGTGTCTTGTCTCGCACCCACCAAAATCTGCGTTTCCTAACTTTCTCGTCCAGAGCCTGATTCCCTGGCAAACTTGGTCACCAACCTCAACGTTGCCAAGTGCTCCGGTGCCCAGGCCGCCTACCTCGAGTGCACCAACTATGCTGTCACTCAGCTCAACCTGCCCAATGTCGCCATGTACCTTGATGGCGGCCACGCGGGTTGGTTAGGAGTAAGTTTTCGCCGCGCCACGCTCCATACATGTTCTACTGATCTAATATACTTCTCCAGTGGGCTGCAAACTTGGGACCCGCCGCGAACATGTACGCAAAGGTCTACAAAGATGCCGGCAGCCCCAAGGCTCTCCGTGGAATCGTGACCAACGTGGCCAACTACAACGCATGGAGCGTTAGCTCCCCGCCTTCCTACACCTCAGGTAGGTCGTACCCATCCAGATTTCTAACGTTTCCGTATCTGACTGGCCTAGGCAACTCCAACTATGACGAGAAGCACTACGTCGAGGCTCTTCAGCCCCTTCTCGCTGCTCAGGGATGGGACGCTCACTTCATCGTTGACCAAGGCCGCTCTGGTAAGCAGCCCACTGGCCAGTTGGCTTGGGGTGACTGGTGCAATGCCATCGGCACCGGTTTTGGTCTCCGTCCCTCCACCAACACAGGCTCATCTCTTGTTGATTCTTTTGTCTGGGTGAAGCCTGGTGGTGAGAGTGACGGCACTTCCCTCACTACCGCCACTCGCTACGACTACAACTGCGGCAAGGAGGACGCTCTGAAGCCCGCTCCTGAGGCCGGAACTTGGTTCCAGGCCTACTTCGAGCAGCTCCTCGTAAACGCCAACCCTGCCTTCTAAGTGCTGTTCAAATTCTTCTACAAATATGGCCCTGGGCTGCAGACGTGGCGTTCTATTTATCTTCGTGTATATATTTCACCTACTTAGAAGATGAATCTTTTATAAACTGTCGAACCCACTTGGCTCTCCTGCTCCGTGCTGCTCGGGTAGTCCGTCTTCAACCCGGAAGGACTATGCTTGCTGTGTGGGACAACCACCGATCATAGAGAGGAAAGCATCGGAGCGCCGTGCCGGTGTCTTTTGGTCCGTCTAGGTCCCGAGATCTAGGACTGAACCCTGGGCACCTGAACTGGTACAAACTCGGTTGGCCTGATCGGAAAGATGCCGCTATAAAAAGCTCGCGCCTGAGCGCTTCCCCTCCCTTCTCTTTTCTTATGGTTCTTTCATGATAGCTCGATGCATCCGATTTCCTCTCAAATCACCCCCAACGTTCGATTACGCAGGCCGCCAAGCCTATATAGATGTGGATGGCCCTTCTCTTGGCCCTCTTCTTTACACTTGAACTTATTTGGATGTTTTATCGCATTCCTTGGCCTCTCAAGGCCCCCCGCAAGCGACACAAGGAGAAGAAACCTGCAACGAAGGGAAGCATACCGGTAGCCCTCCCATCGGGTTCCGATGCAGAAGCCAAGACACAGGGGTTGTTCGCCGTATGAACCCCAAAAACCTTCTCGCTATATCTCCTGGATGTTCTATTCTGACTCGTTATCTGCGCAAAGGAACAGGATACGATTCTTGGCGGCCAAGAAGCCCAGCAACCCAGAGATACTAGCCTCCCAGAAGCGAGCAGCACAAACGAAGCCGATAATTCGGCCCCATCTTCCGGGGTCGCTAAACACTCGATACGGTCTAAAATCCTAATGACAATCAAGACAAAGTTGAAAGGAAAGGGGAAGAGCAGTGGAGTGCCCTTGGATCCTCGATCCCCTCCCTTTCAACCCTTTACCTCTAGCGCAGGCATGAGGCCTTCATGGCTAGATCCAGGAGAGGATACAAAGTTGGCAGATAGTAACCCTTACTCTGCCCGTCTACCGGTCATGACAGTAGATGGGACCGCCGTCTCGGGCTCTTCAACGCGACAAAGGTGGCAAGCCCCATACTTCCATATGAATAACGAATTGCCAACTCAATGGGTGACACCTCGACCTTTCGATCCTACTGCTGTCCAGCCATATCGACCCACACCAGGGGGCCTCGCGGAGGCGTTTGCTGACGACCATGGCACCGCCCCGGACAGGCTTCGAAAGCCATTATCAACACCCTTATTCTCGCCCTGCGTACCCCCATCTTTGCTCAGACCTTCCGACAACAACCAGCCAAACGTCTCGATAATCCAGGAATTCTCGTCTCCTAATCCGTCGTGCCAGGAAGAAGAAGTGCTGCTTCGACGCTTCATTAGGTTTGCGACGGGCCGTAGGTGTCCAAGATGCAAGCGTGGCGTCGCAATTGAGAGCAGCACCATCTTCCAACACGCCAGTGTCATTCTTCTAGATCGAAAGACTATCGAACTGGGCAGCCATTATGTTAGATGCTCTTGCGGGATCTCATACTGTTTCGGCTGCTCCCGAATCGGAGATAATTTAAGGACGCCATTCGCCGGTTCCAAGTCGACCAAATGGTGCTGCCCCCCTGGTCGACTTTTCCACATCTTTGCTCTCCTGTGCGGCCCGACCGCCCACGCTGCAAACCCGCGGGTATCTATCTTTCAAGACTCCCAAGTGGACTCGATCGAGAAGCCCCCCAAAACCGAGAAAAAGTCCGGGTCGAGATTCAAGAGCTACTTCAAGACCAGCGATGACCAAGGCACATCTAAAGGAACGGGCTACGCAACGGGTAAGCTCGACAGAAAGAACGAGAAGCCCAATGAACTCGCCTGTATTCGCCGCGAAGACCTTGAGAACAGCATGGTCCGGTTACCCAGGCTTTTCGCCGCGCTTTCGATAGCATGGCCTTCAACTTCCAACTACTCTCAGTTTGATCGAAATCCTCCACCGTTGTTAATGGTCATGGCTCGCCGAAGCCCGCTGATGATCAGGATGGCAGAGCTTCTTCGGAATGATAGCATGCAAGAGATTATGCGGCAACGAGTTCCATACCAAGCCCTCTTCGATTTCCTTCACGTGCTCTCAGCACACCCTGCTACAACCCCGCTAGTCTGTGATGTTCGAATCAGCTATCCTCTCGCCCGCACTCTACTCCCGGTCTGCTTCGGATATGGCCCTCTTCCAGTTTTAGACAGGTCGTCTAGCTCCAGTGACGATGAAAAGGGGAAGGGGAAAGCGGTGGAGCTTGAAGAGAAGCAGGACCAGTCTCAAGAAACGCTCAAGTCGTTAGTGAGTCTACTTTCTGCCTTGAGAGTCCAGGCGGAATCGGTGAAGCGACTCTACAAACCCAGCCCCGGGGGTCTCTCTCAGACGATAGTCATGTGCGACCGTATTTGCGAGATCTCCCAACAACTCGAAGAAGAAACACTCAAAAAGGACGAGAGGGAAGTGACTATTGACGAAGGAAGCAACCCTCCCTCTCTGACTTACTCACAATCGACCGTTTCGTCAGTGGCAGAATCACCCACCATTCCCGATGACAAGGAGGAGAGACTCACAGCCGCCCGGCAATGGCTCATCGAGAACAAGGTGCGGGAGATGGATTCCCAAAGATGGCAAAGTGACTTCAAGATTCCCATCCCAGACTCGGAGGCCACCGCCCCCCGCCGTATGAAGAAGCTCGTGATGGAGCTCTCCATGCTGCGTACCACGCTCCCCGACGGCATCTTTGTTCGCCACGACGACACGCGGTTGGACGCCATGAAGGTCCTCATCGTCGGACCGGAAGGTACGCCGTATGAGAATGGGCTCTTCGAGTTTGATCTGTTCTGCCCTCTCGATTACCCAGAGAGGCCACCTAAGATGGTCTTCAGAACAACGTACAGCCGTCGAAAGTTCAACCCGAACCTATATTCAAATGGCCAAGGTACGAAAGCCCCCTTTGATTTCTCACCTGCACTATACTTTCATGGACCATTGCTAACTCTTTGCCAACAGTCTGCTTCTCCCTCCTCGGCACCTGGACAGGCAGCGCCACCGAGAATTGGGACCCCAAGAAGTCCACCCTCCTCCAGCTCCTCGTCTCCATCCATGCCATGATCTTCAGCCCGGACCCGGTCTGGAACGAACCCAACCAGGCCTTCTCCCCGGCAGCCTCGCTGGTTTACAAGACGGAGATGCGCGCCGACACCCTCATCTACGCCATGAGCCACTGGCTCCATCTGCGCAAGAACGCCCACCCGGCCGCCGAGTATAACCCGTGGTTCGAGGTCGTGGCCCGCCACTTTGAGGTAAATTGGCGACGGATCCTCGAGACGGCCGAGATCTGGGCCGCGGAGGACCCGGGAAGCCAGCGCAAGGCCGAGAATGAGGTGGGCATGATCATGAGGGAGAGACGCTCCAAAGAGAGGTTTCCCTGCGGGATCCGGACGCTAAAGGGGCACTTTGCCGAGTGGGCTACTTCCGAGGAGGAGCTGGCGCTCGTGAGGCTTGGTCCCGAGGATGATGGCCCGATCTATACACCCGTAGGAATGCCCTTGGAAAATAGGCTTGATCTAGACTTTGACATGTCTCCGCCCATGTCTGACGCCGACGGCGAAGACGAGTCCGATGGAGAGTTTAATCTACCACCAGCGAATAGCACGCCCAATGTACCGCCACCCGTATCTCACCCTCAACCGGAGTTTCACCCTTTCCTACCTTAGATTCCATAACTCCCTCTAATGTCCGTGGTTTCGATTCGTATTTGACATGTTCTCAAAGTTGGTACCTTGGACATGGAGACGATTTGGTGGCAATCAAGAGATGTTAAGCGCTGGTTGGATTGTAATAGTAGGCAAAGTCAAGTTCGGAACTTACCAGGAACACAGGAGATTCGGTAAAGGAATCTGCCAAATACAGGCTCTTTGTAGGCCATAGTATGTGCCCTGTTGAGCACCTTCAAATAACACAATATACCCTATACCACAGATCTGAAGTAGCGTGAATCAATGACCAGATATCCCCGACGAGCTGAGTGGTGTGTTATGGTGTTCTTCGTGTGAGAGTTGAAGCCTGGCTTAGCAAAGGAGGGGAGCAAACATGACAGTATAATCAACCTGTGTCGGTATCAAGATGCCCAATCACCACGTCAACCTTTGATTAAGCTTCGAGTCCCTGCCATGAAGCTCTCCAATGCATCTATGTATGCCGGCAGACCTCACAATTGCCCCGCGCAACCTGCAGCAAACCGCCGGAAAGCCGGGGGCGCGTCTACTGGGTAAATGCTACATGGTCCATGGTCCATGCGCAAGCTTGCTGCGGGAGTTTTGGACAACAGGCTTGACCATGATACACAAATTGATAGAGGGGGCATCGCGAACCGCTTTTTCAGCATTATCACCGCAGCCGCTCGAAAACCTTGACAGCGTTTTACTGACGATCAGCAGAGTATCAAACTCGGACGAATCCTGGGACGTGCCATGGGGGAATGCTCGTATCGCTAGCTGACCGCCCTTCGTCACGACTCAGTTGGCTCGACCCGGCAGCTAGCGACGTGCGCCTCAGTGCGGGCGACCCAGTCCTGAAGATAACAAGGCGTAAATTCATCAGAATGATCAGATTGAGAGAGATTAGCTGGGGAGGAGTTGTGGGCACACAAGCGAAACTGTTTCGAACTGATAACAACCTTGTTGATGCCCACCAGACACGACACAACGTCGCAAGCAAACACGGCTGACGTGCGGCTGGAGATGTTGGCTGCAGGGGCCCATCGAGGGCACTAAACGTGTCCCCGAAGCGATGATACACATCAAAGTGTGCCACTTGTCAAGGAGCTGATGGGTGCGATTGCTGTCTGTACAGGTGTCCGAGCTTGATCCTCGGTGATGAATCAATGTCGGGCCCAAAGAATCGTAGCTTGTTGTCGACTCTGATTGCTCGCCGACGTTCGAATCCATCAGCATGATACGCAAAAGCTCCATCGTCTCTCGAAGCTGCTCACCGACCTGAGCGAGCTTCATTCCGAACAAGCCTTGACTGTAGATAGGGCCCCCAAGATTCTGTAACCAAACTGCGGGATACCACGTGGAGAAGGGGACTCGGACCGTTTGAGTGGGTGGCCGTTTGTCCCGGCTTCCCAGCGCGTACGGTGTACCGTGGTGATTGCCCCAGTCAAATATTTGGAGCAACTTGAAGCTCCAGCGATGCCATGACTCGAGTCTCTGGTGTCCGTTCTGGACCTGTTGGATAAGCCGCATGCATACAGCTTTCCGAGTCGAAAAACCACAAAGCTTCGTAGGGATATTCGGTATAAGCATGAAGTCTATATGGGAGCCATGGGACGGGATTGTCCGGAAACGATCTTGATTGGGACCAGCATGCTTAGTGAAACCCGACGATGGAAACCTTCACTCAAGCAGGCCGGCCTGGCAGATTGTGATGTCCGAGAACGCTCTACGGCCGAATGATTAGGGAGATGAGGAGTGATTGACAGGCTCCCAAAGGTCAATCCCATGGCCTGATTCATGAAAAGTCTGCTGGGTGACTGTCACGATTCATTGGAAACATATTTCGAGATGAAGCTTCAGAAAGACCAAGATACTGCAAAGTCAAATCCTCCACGGCAGGCAACAGTCGACAACGGCAGCGATGTGGTTGGCCACATCGGTGATAGGAACGTGTCGTCCGTTGAGAACCCATGTGGTCCACGAGTTCCAGGTGAAGTTTAGCGGCCAGGTAAGGGTGCGTCTGCCACGTGCGGTGCATGCAGCAGCAAGGTACAAGTCGAGGGAGGACGGGGGATGAGGGGAAACAGCCATTGGCGTGTTTGGTCAGGCCAGAGTCGCATCGAAAGTGGTCTGAGAAGTTGAGTCTAGTGGTGATGATGGCGCGAGAAGGTGGCCAATATGAAAACGATACCTAGCCCATCCGAATCTCTGAGACGAGCCTCGTGTGCCTACATCTCGACAATGATTGCCATTCCCGTGCAGTAGGCAGGTCGAGAAACACGAGGGCATCGATCATAGTATGATGGAACTGCCGGAGGTGGCTGGTCTCGCAAGATGCCGATCGACAGGATTCAAGTCTAACAAGCGTAATCGCCATTACTTGACCGTTTTCAATCATGCCTTGTGGTCATGGAGCTCGTCGGTCCCGAAGCCAAGCCATCATGAGCGCCATATCCAAGATGGAGACCCCGCTTGTGAGGAGCTAAGCTTGGTGCCCGAGGGCGCTGACGTTGGCGGCACTAATAAGGTGTCACACAGTCGACGGAGCCGGGAGTACTGCTCAGTCTGTTTGTAGGTGTCCGTAATTATCCTCTGAACTTGCCGCCCCAAGGCGCGAGGGTGATGATGTCCATGATAGGACTTTGACGGGGGTTCTCAGGGTCTTTTGGCCTGTCCAGGCCAAGAGGATCGGCATTGACTTCAAACACGAAAGTGGACGAGGGCGAGGAAGAACTTAGGTACGACTAGGCCGAATCGAAAAACAATCGCAACATCAAAAGCCACCGGCTGTTTGACAGTGGCCGAGACAGGACAGGCTGGCTGGTGGTTGGCTGAGCCTGCACGTACGGCCGGCGGTATCAGTCAGTGGGCGTCAGTTCGTACGATTCCGCCGGTAGCTCGAAGCCAAATTCTCGCAATTTAAAATCATGGTCCAACTTTTTGGTGAGAGAGAGCTGCTGCTTAGTTCTGTCACTAGACGGATGCGATGCCGATTTCGTGTCCCAAGGACTCTGGGCGTAGGTAGGCCATTCGCAGGCCTGGCTTGAGGGGGAGGCCCGAACTCAATCGATGCAGTAAGCGACACGTGGAATTGACGATGCGTTCCTGGACAAGTGCCTTTGAGGTGCCCAAATACCTTATAGTGGTGAGGTCAAGTGGGTGTGAGGTCGAGGGGGCAGCCGAGGCGGAGTCTGGAGAGTGCGGTATTGATTTGCCTGTTGTTGGTCTAATGGTTGTTCGGAGGGGCTCTCGGGCCCCTTGGAAAGCCATTCAAAAGGTTGGAACTAAAGGCTGCTTGCAACGCGAAAAGATGTGTGACGGACGGACCGTAATTATTGCTGTGTGAGTGCTCACGGTTGGACCGCGACTGTTAGACGCGTGGTGATCGGCTCGAGTGGGCAGCTTTTTGCCGTTTGGTTTCTCGTTCGAAATCGGTAATCACGATCCCTGTGCATCTGGCCCCTTTCCTCCCAGACTCGAGTTGATCATATTCGCCTGAGCGGCACCTCTAGCAAGCCTCCCTGTGCGCCAGTGTATTGTGGTTCCGTACCCCTGTGGGAATTCCACCCCTTCGTGGACGGTGGACAAGACTCGGCCGTTGGCCAGTAGGCTGCTTACAGGTTGAGGAGGCGAAGAAGTTTGGCAAGTCGGGTAGAGCGGTGGTTTGATAAAGAATGGGACGTGGTGAAGGTATGGTACCGGTAGAAGACTTGAAGGCGGCGGCGAGGGCGGCTGGTTTTGGCAAGCGAGTTGACTGCATTCTGTCGGTGTTTCTTTGATTGGCACACATGTTTCTTCAGCTGTTGGCCTGCAGGTCGACGCATGCGGTCGAAAAGAGAGGACTGGTGGTCAAGTCAGACCGGTGGGCGGAGGCGACGACGACAACCCAAGGGCCAAGGCAAGGCAAGGCCAAGGATCCAGTCAATGGGCGATTTTTCTTCGGAATAATGCAGAGATTGAACAGGGGAAGCCTTGAACAGTCTGTGCCGTGCCGACGCCGGGTTGGCCCTGGAGGGAAGCGGGATGTTTCTGCATTGCATGGGATGTGGGATTGAGATTTCTCCCGATGCTGTCTGGTTGAAGTCAAGGTTTGTGGGCGAGATGGAAGAAACAAGAGATCCGACGTGAAAAGAAGGGACGGCAACCATTGCAGTACCTTACTGTGTACCTACCTTGAAGTAAGGTAGGTACCACGGAGGCCACGGAGACGGGAGAGGAAAGTGCAGCGTATTTAGGTTGAACTTGGTGTGTCATGATGAGGGAAGGAACCTAGCCTGGGCCTGCCATGGTTTACCTCTCTCCCGGTCATGTCATTGTTCGCGTTGTATGAGTGAGAGTGAGACTGAGACTGAGCGTGAGATCAAGAATGAGACTCATAGTGAGCTGAGACGCGCCTCAACTGCTCTGCACCACACGAATAGTTTAAAAGGGTGCAGCGAGTTGCCTCATCTACCGGTAGTCTTGTTACTCCTACCGGTATCCATACATTATTTTGCATTTCAATGTGTACGAATATCTGTTTTTTATCGAGGTCACCACTTTGTAGAATTAGAGGGCCGCAGCGCCAAGCTATTCGCAGGCTCAACCTGGTTGACTGATTTCGGTACGCTGGAACATGACACTCTCATATGTGTTGTCTTATGCACAGCTCATGACCTCTGACTCTTCTGCGGCCCGTGTAAACATGATTCGGAAGATGCTATGAAGGGGGGCGCCCCGGAGAGCGTCTTGTCTTGCAGAGAGGCGTTGAATACCTAAATAGACCACGGGTATTATACCAATCTAGTAGATGAGTGCCGCAATGCAAGTATGAGCGAAGCTGCAGCGCATATTCTGATGCGATGCGATGCGCTGTGATGTGATGCTCTCATGCCCAGCTGCTGCGTATCTGTATCGCAGAGAGACGTATCTGCCTGCATCTCTCTCGCAGACTCGCAGTCGCGGTACACGTCTCACGTTGTTGCTCGGGCAAAACGGCCATGAGAGACATGGATTGG